AACAGACAAGAGTTTCAGCTAAAAGAGTTCATTTTTTCAACCTTATTACTTTCTGAATGCATTTATTATTAAATACCCTCATTGTATCATGTTATCCTCATCAGGCTTTTTTTAGCTTAACTTAGTGCTCGAAAAGTTAAAAAAACAAACAAACTGTCAACTCCAAGTAACTTAAATGTCTTTAAAACAAATATTTCTCAACTAGTACCGACTTAACTTGTGAATATTAATTAGCTTTCAGCTTGAGCACACAACAAGCTTACTTTTTAAACGAAGAATGCTCAAAATGTTTCATTGTAATGCTCATAACAATGAAGAACATGTACCCTTCATTGGCGTTCGGGTGATGCCCGGGGTTGGTGAGCGAGGGTCAACAAACACAGGCCCAACTGACTCCACCACAGGGAGAGGAGAGTAAGTAACGCCCACCTACAGGAAAACACAATCAAGCCAATTCTTAGATCTACTGTGGTTTACACACACAAAACTGATATAAACAGCAACTACAACACATCCCGCAAGCAATTTATTGAGATTAAAATCAGCTATAAAAGAGGAACTATTAACATAGGAGTGTTTTGGTACCTGTATAGGTGTGCGGTCAATGGCACAGGACGGTGAACGTGGGTCTGCAAGTTTCGCCACACGCGCTGCTTTGGGTCGCTGACTCGGGTCTAACGTTACCTTTGGTGTTGATGCCACGGTCATTTTGCTTTCACTGGCACCCATGTTTCTGTTTGCTGCTGAAAAACGGCATGGCATATTAAAACATAACTTGCATAAGAAGTTAACCTGAACAACGTGTAGCTCGCTTGTCGTAAAATTTACAACCATGGCAAAACACTCTTATAAAATAACCCACGAAACGTATCTTTAAATGTAACGTTAGCGTTTTAAAACAATAACGTTGCAGTCCTTCAATAAACAAACTCAAACTCACCTTAATGCTCGATGTTTTCCCGCAGTCCACTGTATGCTTTTCTCTTCCACTCCAAATCAGACGGCGTTTCTTTCACGTTTTAATATAAACAAATAAAAATGAGAAATCAACAAAGAAACGCCTTGTGTCGTCTTCCAGTTCAAACTCTGCGCGTGTGACTGCACAATAAGGAGCATTTAAATGGGTCGTTCCGTGTTTGCGGCGATTTTTGAACAGACCAATAGGCGAACTCGGGAGTTTCCGCCTTAGCGTTTCTGATTGGCTAAGACAGTGGATGCACTTTCTTGGGCGTGTCTAAGCCATTTGAAATACAGGCGCGTGTTGACTGTTGACGTCACGCTTTAATATTCTTGATTATATTCAAACTGTCCACAATCGCATAAGGATATTCGTTAGTGAATCCCTCAAACAACAGATATCTATTTTATGAATGCACAGTTAGAACACTTCAAACTTTACTAACTATATACGTTTCTAAATTACATATTCAGGAACATAAATATTAGCAACATTTTAAAGTTTCAAAATATAACGTTTTGCATTTAATAGTTTTACAAAACGAGTAGATAAAGATTGATGAACTCTGCTGCCAAAGTCAAACACATAACAATGGAAATAATGTTTATATAACACATTTTTGTTCTTGTTTTTCAATGCAAAGGTCTTCAGATTGTTCAATCAAGATATTTACTTGTAAAATGGTACAAGGAAAAAAAGTCTTGTTTGTTGTAAAAATGTATCAAAATGAAGCAAGTTTAACATCAAACATAAAACATATTTCATTGGAGAAATTCAAGTAAATCTAATGAAAACAGTAATTTTCATACCCAACTGACCGATATTTGTTCTTGTTTTAAGCACAAATTTTTTATTATTTGTTCACTTTCTTAGAAAACAAAGCTTAAAGAATTATTTAGGAATGAAGATCTTAAATGATATGGGTGAGTCAATTATAAGCAACTTTTTTAAATTCTTTAATTTGTTCATTTTGCATTTCAAATTAATGCATCTTAATTTCAAGATGTTCAGGAATTTGTTTTTGCACCAAACACGACACTTAATGCTAAAAAGTCATGGATATAAAAGTTTCTACTTTAACACCTTTTAAAAAATCTTTTATTGTGAAAGCGCAAAGAAAAAAGAAAATAAATTGCAAAATAAAAATGAAATAAAAATAAGTGCTCAGCATAAATGAGTACACCCCATTTTGAAAATGACTCTCAGAAATGTTTCAGTGAATAATAGAGGTATAGTTGTTTTTATATTCACACATTTAGACTTTCCCACTAATAATATCATTTCATAAAAGTTATATTTGCAAACTCTACATAGCAAAATCATATTAGCAGCCAATGACTATCAAAGTACAACATTTTTCACAGTCAAATAAACAGTGTTAATGTTGTTTTCAAGTCACACTTGCATGCTTATTTTGATTGAATATTCAAAGCAACATGGTAAACAATATAGAGACTTCTAAATGAACAAATGTGCAAATATAAAACCAACTTTACCTCTATCAGTGAATATAGGTAATATGTTTTGGTGCATTTGAACAAAACAGATTTATTAAATCTATATATTGATTAAAATAATAGTCAGAGAACATCTTCACAAATAGACATGTTTATACACTTAAATTCAAGTGAAATATTGCAGAAAAATTATTAAATTTCAATAAAAAATGTATCTTTTATAAAATGTAAATTTCATATGCTTCCCCAACAACATATACATTTGGCTACGGATTTTGTGACTGTTATCGCAAGTTATTTCATTAGACTAGCTCCAGATTTGGCTTCAGTACTGACTGATCTAATGTAAATGCACAAACATAATATTGTAAAGCTTACTATAAATCAGTGGTTCTCAACTGGTTTGGCCATGGGACCCACATTTTTACATGGTCATCAAGCCGCGACCCAAATTTTTAGGAACTATAATACAATTTTAGGAATTACAATTAATTAGTATTTATTTGTTAACATACACAAGTAGTGACAGATAAATCATAAGAAAATCGCCAAGACTTACAAATAAATGATATTTTATTGCTGTCATTTAACAAAATGTATCAAATTATAGAAATATTACAAAGTAAAAACGCAAATACTGTAAACAGTGGTTAGGGTAAGGATAGGTTCAGCTACCATGAACTAAACTGAACTGTTAATAAAACATGTTTTCTGGTTTCTAAATGTCGTTTTAATCTAGAAGGTTTCGTGCTATCTTGTGAGAGCACCTCGCTACTAAGGACACAATAAGGCTTTAAGTCTTTTTTGTCGTCAATATATGTAAATCCATACCATACATTTTCATGGTCGTATAAAAGTCAAAAGTTAAAAATGAAAGTTTTGTTCTTGTTTTTTTACCACACACTCCGCGACTGAAAATGTTTCCGCAACCCACTTTTGGGTCGCGACCCAACAATTGAGAAACACTGCTATAGAACATATTCATTCAAAAGATACATTTGTGAGGGGTGTACTGATATATGCTGAGCACTGTTTATTCATTCATTCATTAATTTTTTAGTCGGCTTAGTCCCTTTATTAATCCGGGGTCGCCACAGCGGAATGAACCGCCAACTTATCCAGCAAGTTTTTACGCAGCAGATGCCCTTTCAGCCGCAACCCATTTCTGGGAAAATCACTGTATATGTATATATATATATATATATATATATTAGGGATGGGAAGATTAACCGATATGTATCGATACGCGGTCATGCACGTGCACGATGCGAGTGCATCGGTAGAGCAGCAGAGGATGAATGAAATTTTGAAAGCAAATCGAGATGCATTGATTTTTGCGAGATGCATCGGTTTTTCCAAGATACAACTTATAATTTTAATATAGAATGTATTTTTTATTTATTAACAAGTGTTGTCAACCTGTTTTTGGCGCATAATTTAATCGACCTACATAAAGTATGCATTAGCAACGGACTTGCGGATGTGTACACTTACACTACAACTCAGTGTATCAGGTGTGCGGATGAAGCTAGTGGTGCGCCCTCAGAAAGCGCGAGAAGCAAAACAAACATTTTATTCCTCACTGAGTTTTAAATCTAAAGTATGGCAACATTATGGATTCTGCAAAAAGGATGGACGACTTGACAGGACAGATGCAATTTGCAAAATGTGCCGCGCATCTGTAAAATACACGGGCAGTACAACTAATCTGATATCTCACTTTAAGCGGCGCCACGGTGTTGTTGTAAAAGCATCTTCCAGTGTTCCTGCTTCCCCGGCTTCCTGCTCTGCTTCAACCAGCTCCAAAAGTGGTGAGAAAAGCATTGAAAGTTTTCTCCATGCGCAACAGTTCTGCTCACTCTACGCCAATAACGAATGCTATTGCATTGTTCATCTGCAAAGATATTCAGCCTAGTGTCACGGAGAACGAAGGTTTTAAACACCTCCTCCTGTTAATTTTTATTTATTTATATTTTTATTAGCCTGTTGTTTACAGTGACAGTGATGTTTCAAAGCAGCATAACACTGCTAGTTCACGACCTTAAGTTTTGAATATTCAGTGGCACAATATATCTTTGTAAAACTTGTTTTCATAATTGAAAGGTTAAATCACAATTCTTGTTGTGCAATGGTAAACCTTTATGTTGAAAGAGTGCAAATATATACATTTATAATATATATTGCACTTATACATTCTGTTTATCTTGAAAATCCTTAAATAATATGTGCTATAGGTTCTAAAATGGCCCTCTACTGTAAACTGACACCCTGGCTCTGAAAGAAAAGCCAGTTTGTAAAAAAAGTCTTGGTTTTGCTTTGTTAATTAATAATCAAACTCATTCAATGGCACAGCATCCTCTTTCACATCATCTCATAAACTTGATTTAATTAGTTAGTGCTGAATTATCGCATTGTATCGTGATATGGGTGTAAATCGTATCGTGTTGTATCGCAATGTCACAAATGTATTGCTAATATATCGGATCGTATTCTTTGTATTGAGATGCGTATCGGATCGGCATTATAGCTTAGATGCCCAACCCTAATATATATACCACCATTATTTTATCTCAGGTTACCAAGCATTTTTGTCAAAGCTTTATTGCTTGAATTACATATATCAGAGCAACTTGAATTGGCTATATGCAAAACATTAATAATTATGGTACACTACACAATATGGCAAGTAGAATTTACAATTAAGCAAATTAATTTACAGCAAATATGTGATAATAAAGAGTGCTTACAGACACGTCTATTAGTCTCACAACTCTTCCTCCACTCAGCCAACATAACTTGCGGATTACACGGGGCTCGTAGTGATATAGAACAATTATATCTCCACATCCTTCGTCTCTGTTTCAAACAGAAGCAAGTATCATTTGAGCTCACAGTGCGTGGATCATATTTTCCCTTTATGAGAAATATCGCTGTAAATCTGATCAATGGAAAGAACCGTAATCTTCAAGATTAATGCAAAAATTACAACTGTAAGCGTAAACTTGTGACAGAAATGCAGCAATATTGTGGTGTAGTTAAACTGTACCATAGGTTTTCCCTCAAGGGCAGTTTATCAGTTTATTCTTCAGTGCTGGAGCTAAATGGCTGTTTGTTCTCCGTCTACTGTAGCGCCTCTAAAAGTCAAGCCCCTCTTGTTGAAATGTACACCTCAGTCTTCTGGTTTCCTCTCCCAAACAGGCGTCTCCACACTCGCACCATATCGTCCTTCATTCCGCCTCTCCTTCTCTGTGGGAGAAGTGTGTCAGCAGTGTGTCCAAATCTCGCCTGTCGGCGGCGGAATAGAGTGAGCTTTCTCCCATCATGCTCAGTGCCATGCGTAGTGTGGACCAGATGTTGTCCGACATGATGGTGGCTGCAGCACCAGGCCCTCGTCCAGCACCGGCCTCTCCATCACCTGCGGCCTGTCGCTGCAGAGAAAGCGCCTCCAGGAAGTGCTCCACTGCCTCCCTGACAAACATGAGATCACATTTATTGAAGTGCTTTGTAGGTCCAAGTTTCTGCTGTGCTCATAATTAAGCGTAGAACTTCCAGCTTGGTGAACATTTATTCAAAAGAACAAACAAATCACTTCAGAAAATAAGGTTGTGCCACAAAGAATAAAAAAAAAAAAATAGTTAAAACCGTGACAGGTACGTTTTTTTATCCTACATTAAAATAACGTAACAATTGTTTTTTAAATGTGGCCTGAACATCACAAGCACATCTGTGGTCAAATCTCTTTTGAGTTCGCTGAATTGTGTTCATCTAGAACTGATGCCCAAAGTGGTGCAGGCCAAAATTTGCCCTTATGCCTGGTTTATACTCGACGCATCCTCTTGTTCGATTGAGTGCGCACGGCGAATGTGACATCATTGTGGAGTTTGCGGAGGTTCGCTTTGGGTGTGCGCGGCATGATTTTGGCTGGCGGTGCATGCAGCATTAATGAGACTCGAGCGAACAGTGCGCACGGCGCCGCAACTGATATGAGTTGAATATGAAACACTTTGAAGAGATTTTTTCTGAAACAGTACGACTGTACACACATCTCATGACCCGTGATCAGAGAGATTACCAGATGATCAATAATTCTTGGCTAGAAATTACAACAGCAGTGGAAAAGTAGAAAGTTTTTGTTAAAAGGTTTGGAAAAACCTGAAGGATAAGTTTATTAAAACCAAAAGAGTGGAGACCAGGTACACAATCACAGAATATGTTTTTGCACCAGTCATAGGTTTTACACTGATGTATTTTGTTTAATTTTGTATTTAAAACAATTTAATAGTTACAAAACTGAAATGAAGTCACAAAATTATTTTTGATAGCTAGAAAGGAATACAATATACTGATGCCCTGTTTCTCTGGGCTTTATTGTTGATAATGGTCAGGAATGTTGGACCAACGTTGCATTTTTAGCATAAGTATAGGACAGAAACTAGCCAGACAGTAATGTGTGAATTGTGGAGCGGGTTAAACCTAAAAAACCATCTGCATTTTTTAGTAAGTGTACTTTTTTGCTTTTATTTTAGCGATAATAAAACATATACAGTTGAAGTCAGAATTATAAGCCCCCCATAATTATTAGACCGCTTGTTTATTTTTTCCCCAATTTCTGTTTAATGGAGAGAAGATTTTTTCAGCACATTTCTAAATATAATAGTTTTAATAACTCATTTCGATTAACCATTTTTTTTTATCTTTGCCATGATGACAGTTAATAATATTTGACTACATATTTTTCAAGACACTTCTATACAGCTTAAAGTGACATTTAAAGGCTTAAATAGGTTAATTAGGATAACTAGGCAGGTTAGGATAATTAGGCAAGTTTTTGTATAACAAAAGTTTGTTCTATAGATTATCGAGAAAAAATATAGCTTAAGAGGCTAATAATTTTGTCCCTAAAATGGTGTTTAAAGAATTATAAACTGCTTTTATTCCAGCTGAAATAAAACAAATAAAACTTTCTCCAGAAGAAAAAATATTATCAGACATACTGTGAAAATTTCCTTGCTCTGATAAACATAATTTGGGAAATATTTAAAAAAGAAGAACATTTTTTGAAGGGGGCTAACAATTCTGACTTCAGCTGTATTTGTAGAGCAACACATGTTATGTTGTCATTAAAATTTTAATAAATTGTATTAGGTATAACTGTCTGAGAAATGAACAAAGGGAAGTGATGACCAATAATTGTTTGCCATAAATTGCAAGAGCAGTGAGAAAGGATGAAGTTTTTTGTTAAAAAGTTTGGGAAAACCTGAAGGATAAGTTTGTTTTTGCCAAAAGAGGCCATGGCAAAAGTAGAGACACCAGGTACACAATTACAGAATATGTTTTTCCAGCAGTCATAGCTTTTACATTGATGTATGTTTGTGGAGCGGGCTTAACCAAAAAAAATAAAAATAAATAAATAAATAAAAAATAAATAATTTTTAGTAAGTGTATTTTTTTTGCTATTATTCTTGCCATAATAAAAATATATTTGTAGAGCAACTCATGTTTTCTTGTGATTAATATTATAAAAAACTTAGTAGTAAAACTGTCCGAGATATGAACAAAAGCAAGTGATGCATCAAAGTTTGATTAAAAAATCTTGAATGGTTATAAAAATGCTTATAATCATTCACATAATGAATAAAAAAACAATAAAAAATAATTAGTTTAAAATTATTGAACAACAGTATGATATGACGTACTTCCAGAAACTTCCTACTCTCTGTTTATCCGTCTAATTCTACGGTGGGTTTCTTTTGACCGCCCCCTGTCGTTTTAAAGAATATCACAACGGCGAACGCGGCAAGTATAAAAGCCTCGTCCGTGTCGCGAGGTGCGCGCGCAGTCAGCGGAGGTGCATGATGCGGCACCAGGCGAAAGTTTGATTTGGCCCGTCAGAGGGAAAATGATTGGGAAGGGTTGGGCAATGCTTTTAACAGAGATTCCAATTTAACCTTCTTGTTTGTTTTAATGTTGAACCATTGTTTTATAAATGAAATTTAATAGTACAGTAATATTCAATGTACTCTCATAATAGTGCAGTAGAAAAACTCGTTTAAAGTGTTTGGGGTTATTCAGTCTCCTCAAAATAAGGCCGTACTCACACTAGGTACAGTTGCCTCGAACCGGGCCAAAGCACGCTTGTCCCCCCTCCCGTCTCCCCCGACGGCCCGCGCTCACACCATATCAGGCCTCGGCACGCTTACGTCATCGCTGCTGCTCTGTTCAGTGAAGCGCTCTCTATGGCAAGCCTTTTTAGCATTTAAATCTTTGTTCTGACTCCATAAATATATTTAGAGATATCTCTAATTATATTTTGACTAGTCATAATTATAATTCGACTAGTCAGAATAACAATTAGAGATATCTGCAATTACAATTGTACTAGTACGAAATCTGATTGGAGATATCTGCAAATATATTATGACTAGTCATATTCCTCCATTGACTTCCATTGAAAAATATTTGCAGATATCTCTAAATGAGTTTTGACTAGTCACAATTGTAATTAGAGATATCTCTGAGTTTTTACTAGTCATAATACATTTGTAGATATCTTTAATTCATCATATTTAGAGATATTTACAAATATATTTGAAGATCTATCTAATTAATTTACTAATAGTCGAATTACAGTTGTAGATATCTTGAATTGGATTTTTGACTAGTCAAAACTCATTTAGAGATATCTGCAAATATTTTTCAATGGAAGTCAATGGAGGAATATGACTAGTCAGTCATAATATATTTGCAGATATCTTTAATCTGACTAGTCGAATTATAATTATGACTAGTCAAAATATAATTAGAGATATCTCTAAATATATTTATGGATAGTCAGAACAAGGTTTAAATGCTAAAACGGCTTGCCATACACTCTCACCCAGTAGCACAGTGGAGATTACTCTAGTTATATCGTTTCAGTCGTTTGTTACGCAGTGATATGCAGTCAAATATTTCGCCAAACAGTCCTTAGGGATGCGGTGACACGCAGTCAGATATTTCGCCGAACAGATCCGCCACTTTTGGCGCTCATAAACAATCATTAAGCTCTCGTGCTGCAGGAATGAGGAGGTCTGCTGAAGGTGCGCAGCTGTCGTGCTGTGAGGAGTTTGCGTCTTTAATAAACTACGGCAGTTTGCGATCACTGAACAGTAAGAATGATTAATAAATCCATATGAAACAGCCCCTTAAAAGTCACGTATCGCTTTCAGTTTCGGGCTTTGGCGCGTTTTGCACCCACACACAAGCGTAAAGCCTTTTTGCCTTTATTAGTTAGGACAGTATTTAGACAGGAAGCGAAGTTGGAGAGAGAGTGAGAGAGAGATAAGGGGGTAGCGGAGGGAAATGTCCTCGAGCCAGGATTCGAACACGGGACGTCCTACTGCACCATATGTCGAAGCGCTAACCACTAGGCTATTGCGCTGACAATACACTACTTTTTAATAATTCTAATGGATGAACTGTGAAAAGAATTCACCACCATATTTAAAAATCATATTTAACAGATTGTTTACAGTCCAACAGAAGTTACTTCCATGACTCTCATAAAGCATAACTGTGTGGGGGAAAATTGGCGGATGGGCCTTATGAAGTCTTTTTGTACTGACCTGTGTGCCCCCAGGTTGACACAGCTGATGCCCAGGTTGTATCGGCTGCGTACAAATCCAGGCTGTAACTCCAGCGCACGTCTATAAGCAGCGACCGCCTCCTCTGAGCGGTTCCCGTTAGCTAGAGTCGCTCCCAGTTTATTCCACAGCAGATAATCCTTCACACAGAGTAGAGAGAAAGTGAACCAAATACTGATGAATAATGTATAAATGTGTAGAACATAATATGTATGCATATACATATTTTAATTATATCCACTCCACTGCAATTCTCTCATTTACCGCTTTAAATATTTTAAAGACTCAATGATTTCAGCCTAATTAGTGCACACTTTATTTGCTGCAGAGTGAGGTGCTGTTTTTTTCTATTCTGAGACCTGCTGGGGTTGTTTTACCTTCTACACCCACTGCCCAACTGAAACAGACACTTCATTTTTATTGTCCATGAGATGATATCAGTGTGACGTTGACCAATAAGAGCACAGAAACTCTTCTGTTCAGAGTATTCAAACACAGTGAGACAATAGTATTGATGGTCTTAGGTGAAATTATGCAATGGATTGTCCGCTGTTTTCTTTCAATTTTGGAACATTTTTTTTCTGATATCAAAACAATACAAAACAAACCATTGTTTGGTTATGCCCTTGTTTTTGGATGTTAGAATGTTTGGATCTTCTCAATGTTGGAAGGGACAGTTCATCCAAAAAAACTCTTGAAAAGAAGATATTTTGAATAATGTTAATAACCATTGTCACCTATAATAGAAAAAACTAATACAATGAAAGTCAATGACCATCAGTTTCATCACTTTTGTGTTCAACAGAGGAAACAAGATTGGAACAAGTGGAAGTAGAGTGTATAATGACAATTGTCATTTTTAGGTAAACTATCCCTTTAAATATGGCAAGCGAGGGAATTAAAATTGCACAATTTGACACATGACTACAGATGAAAATATTGTGAAGTCTGAACCAGAGGTTTTCACGTATACACCTTATTGTTGGACCATGTTGGGTTTAGTGTTAGGCCCCGTTTACACTGACACTATGATGCCCAATTCCGATTTGTTGCCTATATCTGATTTGTTTGCCTGTATGTTTACACGTTGTTTTAATTGTGACCCATATCCAATTCATGCGTTTACACTTGCCATACATTTTACGATGTCACGCATGCATAAAGGCGGATTCTAGCATCTGTGCCATGATGATATGTATAATCCATTTATAAATAATATTGTTTTGTTTGCGTCTAAACATTGCGACCATCCACACAAAATATTCTTATTATTTTGTTGCTGTCGTACCATGGATATTTTCTCAAATTATTATTAAACGTGGAGCAAACAAATTACTAGATAAAATAAGAATTTAATCGGTTGTCGGTTGCCAGAAGCAGCCCCGACTCTACAGACAGACTCGGGCCATATGTGGTGTAGCGAGTATATCGATGCCACGTCGCCCTGGTCTAAGATTCACCCCAGCTGGCACCTCATCAGCACCGGATCGCTTGCAGCTGGAACTCATCAGCCGGAGAGACATAAAAGCCAGCCCCACACACAAGGAAAACGAGCTTCATTCACACATGACTCCCTGCACTAACGCTTGTGTCTCTCTGTCTCTCCCACATCGGACTCCAGCTCGTGAACGATCCAGCACCCGAACTCTCACTATCCTTCACCTTCCCCCCGGAGCACCCGAGCACCAACACTAAGAAGAGCACCATATTTACACTATTTCACTTTGTAAATAAAGCACCCTCAGGGGACTTGTTTGTAACCAACGCAACTGTGTATGTGTTTTCCCTCTGCCTCGCTACAGTGGTTAACAGGAATCAGGCCAGTGCTTTACCGCCGTATCACAAACGCATGTGCGCGAGCGAGCTGCGGGCCATACTCGGCCCAGATAACACTTGCCGATGCCGAGTCAGAGCAAGAGGTGCCGAATGGACGATGGAAAAAATTGTCTTTTATTTAGCTCTTCGAAATATGCAAAGTTGTAGTAAAAGCAGTGAATGGTTTAGTCTGGATTTACCCCAAAGCAGTTTATGTAATAGTATGGCCCTGGTGTGTGTGTGTGTGTGTGTGTGTGTGTGTGTGTGTGTGTGTGTGTGTGTGTGTATAGTTGCAGATGTAGCCTTTTCCTGTGTGCGTACTGGTGTTGGAGAGAATAAAGTTATTCTATGTGAAGCCTGCATGTATTAATAGCCACAAAAAGCAAAAAGTTACAACATGAAGTTCGCCCAACTTCAAAATGCTTTTGAGGAGAATCTGGGAAAGGGCCATTATCGCACGAGAGAGATCTCAAGTCTTTAGGGAGCAAACTGTGGCGACTGACCACTTTCCTCCTCTGTGTTTCCTCTGATGTTGTTTACCGCGTCGGCATCTCCACACACGCTCTTCCTTCTGTCATTAAACCGTGGGGAAGCACAACATTGTCGCAAGTTTAATGATGAACAGAACGAAATGCCTCAATAAATCCGATCTGCCTGTTTACATGACAATCGCATTGTCACATATCCGATCTATATCTGATTTATTTCCACATATGAAGGAGGCCTGAAACCGCTCTCTTAATATCCGAATGCATGCGTTTTTTCGTGTTTACACGGTCATAGAACAGATCTGATCTGTGTCACATATGAGCAAAAAATCGGAATAGGGTCACATTTAACTAGCAGTGTAAACGGGGCCTTAGTGACCTCAGGCCTAAATTTTTCAATAAATAAACATGCTTTGTCCAAATGGACCCAATAAATATCTGGAAAAAAGCAACTGCTCCATTTGTTCAGGCTGGGCATTTCTTTCTTAGTGTGCAGAGTTGAGCAAAACGGTTGCAAACAACATGATGAATCTATGATTTATTAGGCTTTTAATAAAAAAATATCAATCCATCACTTAATTTTTTTTACAATAACCAGCAAACTATCCTAGGACTGAGAAGATGAACAGTAAGATGAGCTAACTCAAACCACATAGACTGGAGGCCCAGATACAATGAATTAATCTTTCCTGTCTCTTATTGACCTTATTCTGCTGACGAGTGGGCGCTGCCATTTGAATCTTTTTGGCAGGAGACTTCCGATCTCATTCACTTTCATTCATTTTTAGACATTAAAAACTGCTTGTTTCGCTGTTTGATGTTGCAAACTGATATTTCCTTGTTATATTATTCTACTTGGTCTGTATAGTCATGCAAACATTTGTTTGTAGAGCAAGTAGTTTGACAGTTTTTTTGCCGTTTATTATTCCTTGTCATTTCTCACATAGGCGACTGAAACGGAAGACAATCGCGAAAACAGGCGCACTTCCGCATTTTAGAATAAGGTCAATAAACTCAAAGATGCTTTATAGATTTGTTTAAGATGACACTGCTTGCGTTTTTGAGAATTACATGTAAGAAAATCAGTTTGTAACATTTAAATTATACTCAAATGATTCGAACTTCCCATTACTAGACTTATAGGCTATAGCTGCAGTCATTTTTTTTTCATTTTGAGTTATGCTTATATCAAATAATTCCCTGTATGTTGCAGACCTTGTACCTTTATTTTCTGTTTTCCCAGAAATGATTCTCTATTTCCCTGGGGAGTGCACAAACTGATAGAAGAGCACCATGGCTGATACTGAAATCTTGTGGGAGATAGAAAAGTGGGGCTGGGTTTGTGAAGAGCAAGTTAAAATTAGACCCAGAAATGACATATCTATTAAGCAGGGAATATTTTCAAGTCAATAAGTTATTATTTTAAATGTTTAAACTAATTAACTACTAAAACAATACAGTTGAAACTTTAGTAAATGGGTGAGTAGATGGTTTTTAGGTGAAACCACTCTTTAGGTGTAAATGAAAACAAACCTGTGGTGTGACAGAGAGTGCGGCAGAGAAACAGTCCACAGCCTTGTCATACTCTCCACTCAGATTAAAGAGAACACCCAGACCACACTGCAGCTCCGGGTCCACCTGCGAGGGCTCAGCCGCCGCTGCATTCAGAAACAACGTCTGCACTTCACCAAACAGTGCTCTAAGAGAAACAAACTCACATAAATTAATTCAAATACACACCATCATTAAAGCTCATGTTGTTTCAAAACCCTTCTGATATTCAAAACTATCCTAAGTCAAAATACAGTCATTTGTACAGTAACACTTTCAAGGGCCTTTTTTTCATGTCGTCCTCATTTTTGTTTTACAATCTTCTTTAAAGTCCTCTTTTTGTGCTATTAGGAATAAAAGGCCATAAGGATCATTCAGGTCTGTAATGAAATGGTAAGTAGCATCAGGTCATTAATCCAGAGTCGTTCAAAAAACTATTTTAAGATCTGCAGAGTATTTTCAGATGGCCACAATGCTGCGTGCAGATGTAAAGACACACCTGTGTTTGTGTTAGATGTATTTTTAGAGGAACTGCTCGCTTATGATTGTGACAAATGTAAATCTCTTGCTTGGTTACAATGTCCAGTCCAGTGACTTCTGCATGTCTCCAGCTGATGTACAAATGTGTTGAAAACTGGCGGCTGGAATTGAATACACATCTGATCAACGCACAGTGTCGAATAGTCAAGAACAGGGTTTAAAAAAGTATTTTAACAACACCTGTGGCATATTTGCGAAAAAAATTTCTGTCTCATTACTCAAGTTTGTTTATTGTTAAGCAGATATTATGGTTACAGTAACACACAAGGTGAACTGAATGCCAAAATGACACGTCATAATTTTGTGTGTTTATTACTTATTTTATGATTCTTAAAATATGTTTATTAATGAATAAAATTATAATAGCCAAGATTTTTTTTAGCTTTCACATTAATCAATCTCCGATCATCCATAATGACTTGTTTTAATGTAAATGTGACACTGGAGCACAGACATTTAGTTTTACATTTGCATAATTTAATTATTAGCTTTTCATTAACCCATCAATCTTTCATTTAACCAAATTTGACATATCCTGGCATATTGTAAAATTGAGTGAATGTCTTAATGATGTCAACAAAAAATGGAATAAACATCATTTATTATTGTTTGTTTTATAACAACAACTACATTTAAGCCTATGTTCTTAACAAGTTAGGTCAGAAGTAATCTAAAGGTAATTCACAAGTAATGAGAATACATTACGCCAGGGAGTCATTTAATAGATTATGTCGTCACCTTGGAACTATAAGGTTCTATCTGCATTCTTAATGATTTTAAGATAATGAGCTTTACAGTTTTTGTATTCCATAGGAAACAGTATGTGTGTAACATTTGTTTTTTAAATAAAAAGTCTTAAAATGTAATAATTAGTGTAAAAAAAACATCCCATAATGTAAATAAGTTTTCATTTAATAAGAATATGTGAATAACTCAATTTTGAAAAAAATGTCAGATAGAACATAATTCTACATTCTCACTGACTACATTTTTAAGAAGGTAATCAATGTGTAATCAGGAGCACTGTGTTAATATATTTACAAATCGTAATATTTTATTTTAATTTTAATAAATTTTTAAAGCATATATTTTCTCATAAAGGTTTTTGATTTTTATGTTTGATTATTTATTGCCACATCAGCAACTTATGGCAATTTAATGGCAAGATCCATATTTAAAAAAATGACATTATTACATAATAACAACTTCACAATTCAATAAGTAATTTTTCCCCTCGTAATTTAAAAACTTCATAATTCAATTATTTTATTTTTTACATTAAAAACATTAGGATTTTTTTAGCTCAATATATGATTTCCCTGTAAAGGTCAAACGGTATCATTTTTTTTTATTATCGCATCATTTTAATGTGCTGATTTACTGCTTAAGAGACATATTTTATTATTAATATTATTATTATCAATGTTATAAGCTATTGTACTGCTTAGCATTAGATTTGTATTGTTTTAAAATTTTGACGAAAAGTAAAACAACATAAAAGTCTTTGCTGTCTACAAAACCTAACAAAAAAAAAAAAAGAAATTAACATGATTTTTAGTTTATCATTTGGTATCAGAAGTGGCTTATTTGAAAGGCAAAGGGCTCTAGATTACACTTATTTTACCATAATAAAATATAATCAAGCTTAAATTTTTAATTTATTAATTAAGACAGTAAGGTCTGACTTTGCTTTGACAAAAGTCTTGTCTCTTAACAAAAGTAGAATATAAAATCATGGAAAAAGAATGAATATTGTGTATGACCCCTATCAGCTTGAAGGACTGCATCCATACATCTCCGCAATGACTCAAATAACTTGTTAATAAAGTCATCTGAAATGGCAAAGAAAGCGTTCTTGCAGGACTCCTAGAGTTCATCAAGATTCTTTGGATTCATTTTCAATGCCTCCTCTTTCATCTTAACTCAGACTTGCTCAATAAATGTTCATATCTGGTGACTGGGCTGACCAATCCTGGAGCACCTTGACCTTCTTTACATTCACTGAAAAAATCTAAGTTCTGCCATTTTTCCAAATGATTAACTAAAAGTTATTATTTGTTGCTCTTACAACTGGGATTGACGACAAGACATTTGTCAGGTAATGTATTATGACTACTATCTTTATAAGATATTAATGTACAGGACTGTGTACAAACTTCAGTTCTCAGTGTGGTGCAAAAATCATAACGTAGTGTTGCTCTTTGTCTACTGCACTCATGTAATGTACATCTTATACATCCAGCATGTGTCTGAACAGCCTTTAGGAGTCCTCTTACTCTGGCAGAAGGGATCCAAATCTTTCACTCTCTTTCTCTCTCTCCCTCGCCCCCTCCCTCTGCTTCTCTCGCTCATGCTGCTCCAGGATGATTCTGTATTTGGGGTTGTGCCTCAACCAGTCCCGGAGCGTCTCGCAGGCCTGTCTGTGAAGCGACTCGTTGGTGAAGCTCACAGCAAGAGCCATTAGAGCCGTCAGATTGTCCTTTTTTAGCTCTATACATCTGAAAACAACAATGGAGACTTTACATAAAAAAACAAAGTGCACACTGTTTTAATACATCAGATCGGTACAAGTAGGGAGAATTTTATGCGTTTAAATATATTTTATTAAGTAATTCATTAGGTGGTGCATTACAACTGTTTTTTATAATAAAAACACACAAATAAAACATACAACAGAAATGTTATTATGAAAAAAATACCTTTTATCATTTGGAGATATATAAAGTATCTCCAAATTATAAAAAAAACAGTAATGAAGACATAATAAATATTATTAATCACAAGTTTGCAAAGATCAACCCAAATATCAATCAAAATCTTGCAACAATAAATACAAAGAAGTAAATAAAAATAAATAGAAATATAAACGAACAAACAAACAAACGGGCGAACAAACGAACGGTCACCACTACTCTCACATGGTCAGTTCCTAGATGGGAGACCATATGAGAAGGCTGTTGCCAAAAGTGGTGTTAGTGAGACCAGCAGGGGGGGCTCTACATGCAGTTTGTGTGGGTCCTAACGCCCCAGTATATTGATGGGGACTCTGTGGTCGTTAAAAATCCCAGGATGTCCTTCGAATAAGAGTAGGGGTTTAACGCCCGCATCCTGGCTAAATTTGCCCACTGGCCTCAGTCCATCATTGCCTCCTAACCATCCCCATACCATAATTAGCTTCATCACTCTCCTCTCCACCAAGCTGGTGTGTGGTGTGCAATATGGCTGCAGTCACGTCATCCAGGTGGATGCTGCACACTGTTGGTGGATGAGAAGAATCTCCCCAAAAATGCAGTACAGGTGAATTGAGTAGGCTAAAATTGTCTGTAGTGTATGAGTGTGAATGAGTGTGTATGGATGTTTCCCAGAGATGGGTTGCAGCTGGGAAGGGCATCCGCTGCATAAAACATATGCTGGATAAGTTTGCAGTTCATTCCCCTGTGGCGACCCCAGATTAATAAAGGGACTAAGCTGAAAAGAAAATGAATGAATAAATGGTTCGCCATGCATTTTCAATGTCTCTAAAAACAAAAATATTTCAAAAGTTTTGTGATTTTGGAAACATAACAGAGGAGACAGACTGCAATCTATGAACTGACACTAGCCAACCAAAGCAGATGCACTCGGACGCAGATATATTTCCTACCTCCGGAGGGCGCTGATCGCAGCAAACTCCTGCTCGTTCTCCGCCTGGCAGGTGCCCAGATATTGCCAGGCCTGCAGTATCGTCAGACACGCACAGTCAGCGTTTCAGAAAGACATAGAAGGAAACAGAGCACTGTCAGAATCCCCAGAGATAAAATGTGCCATGAGTTTTGGATGTCAGGATTATAAGTATGAGTCTCTGACCAGCTGGTTGTCTGGCTGTCTCTGAACGGCGCTCTCGAAAAGGCGCACAGCTCCAGGAATGTCTCCCGCCTCCATCCGCTTCACCCCTTCTGCAAACGGATCCTCATGGGACAGGTAGGGGTTGTCTTCCTCAAACTGATATCCCTAAAAAAAGTAAGAAAGCAGGCATTTGGAAGCAATATTTAAAAGCAAATATTCATAAACTAGTCTTCAATTTCATTTATTCCTTTAAATTTTTTCTCTTTAATTTTTGGCCATTCTCTAAAAGTTTTAATTCCACAATAAATTAGGATTTAATCTATCAAATATGATGGATTTCAGTCATAAAAATGGAATCAGCTGTATAGATATACAAATTTTTAGATGTAATGTACACCTAATGAAATAATGATGTGATCTAGTGTCTATGTATGTTAAATGGCAAAAAGACTTCTTAAATGTTATTTTTAAATTGTTATAATATTGCACATTATCACGTTTTTTATTAAAATAAATTAATAATAATTCAAATTGTAATAATTGTAAATTAATATACATTTTTATAAATAATATTTAAAATATTTTAATTAATAAATGCAGTAATAATACACACATCTGGAATATGAACAATATAGTAAAACAATAAAGTTAAATAGCCTCTCTGTGCAAAAAAAAAAAAAAAAAGGGAAGAATTTTATGCATAAAATGTAATAGTTTTATTTTTGTATATTCTTGCTCTGCAAATGAAAATTTGTTCAAAATCGAAGCAGAAACAAAGACCAAAACTAACATGCATGCACCATAACAAAGCACAGACTACTGGCTGGAAAAGAGCTCAAATTTTCCAGTTCTCTGTGCTGTAAACGGGCACAGATGTACACTGTCCAGATACCTTGTCGTAAGAGCTGCTGAGCATCTGGTCGAAGTCTGAGAGCCAGGGGTGAGCTTCAGCATCCCTCTTGGCCATTTCCTCCCACTCCTGTTGGAGCTTCTCCCAGAAATCAACATCGCTCTGTATAAAAACACACATACATACACACAGACCAATGAGTTAAAGCCAAAACAAAACAATCTTAATCTAATCTACAGACTTTAGGGTGACAGGTTTTAAGAAAATGAAAATTGCTAAAAAGTTTATATTTTGCAGCCGTGTTCATTTCGTCAATAAAAATTTGACAGGTTTGCTGTGCAGAAATGTGACTGAATGCACATGCTCTGATCTACTCAATTAATGACAGTGTGATGCTGAGGACCATAACAATAATTAGTGTTGGGTAAGTGTTTTGTTTTGTCCACATTTCAGTTTAGTTTCTTGTTCTAGGGATGTTCTGATAATTTTTTTCCCTTCCAGTTACCTGAGCAAACAAAATTAATTATTTATAGGCTAATGGATTTCTGTGCATACAAGGTTTCCCTATCGATTAAAGCGAAAGTGAAAGTAAGCCTAAATAATAAGGTGGCTCATCTCTCATTCTCGCGCTGTAGATGCTCTGTTGAACTTTTTTCTTGGTAGTGAAGCGCTCAGTTTTTCCACTTACAAAGTCTGTCATGTAAATAGCAATTTTGCGATGGCTCGACGCAACTGACTTTTAAAGGGAATGGGAGATGAGACTCTGATTGGTTTATTCTCAAAATACACCTATAACTCATTAAGAAAATAAGCTCAACCCTTTTAGACTATGCGCCATGGCGCAAAGCGGATTTTGTCGTCTTTATATTAGCAAAAGTGGATTCTGACACGCCCTTAATGTGTTTGTGCCCTGCACTTTGCGCATGGATCGTCAAAATAGAGCCCTTCAAGTGCAGAAAATGAACAATCATGTGTAAAATAACATGGCTATGATTGTATAAATAATAACCAAAAATAATGTTTAATGTCTATCTTTTACTCTTTAATAAATAACATAATCGTGCAATGTGACTACTGCAGAAACACATTGTGATATCAATACTTAATCAATATATTGTTCAGCCCTACTAAGATTTTACTGCAGATCTCACATTCATAACACTGAAACTGCTCATATACAACTAGTACTTAGTTTAGTTTAAATAAAACTGTAAGAAGTAACAATTCAGACTCCAGAAATGTGTAATTACTACACAAAAAAGCCCAAATACCCCAAAATAACACTTAAAGCGACAGTTCACTCAAAAATAAAAGTAATGCCATCAACCCTCCAATTGTTCTCTCTCTCTCTCTGGAAGATTTTCTGAAGAAGGTGTATAACAAACCAGCCATTGATTTCCACAGTCATTTTTGTTTCAAAATTTCCAATAACTGCTTGTTTCCCACATGTTTCAGAATATCTTGTTTTCCCTATAATGACAGCAATCAAATACAATTCCTCAAGTATTTACAGCCTAAACTGTGCTCACCTCGACCGCTGCTTTGGCCTGCTGGAAGTCTGGCCCGTAGGTGGCGAATTCATCGACCCAAGACTCCGCCGATTCTGCCGAAACCTACCAAGCACAGCGACATGCCAGACCATTAAACAGCCTCCATAACAAACCACAGAGCCTGCAAATGCTTAAACACTACTCAGCTGAAAGGAGAGAGGGGGGAAACAAAAAGACAACACACTGTGATTAATGAGAGCGAAAAGATGTAATGGAAAAAGGGCTCGGGAGACCAAGCAGAGGAAGAAAAGCAAAATCTCACCCTCATTCATCCGTCTCGCCTTTCCTCTCTACATTACAATAGCAAAGCATTGCTCAGTGTACCTTTTCTCTATTGCAGAAAGTCAAAGCTGGGCACAAATGAAAAGCAATGTGAGCAGGGCACTATCAGCTCTACAGGCCTGGAGTCTTGCAGCGATAATCATGTTAAAAGGGCTGTTAAATTAAAGCTTTCTTTGAGGCACAATAGTTTGGTCAGCGGGGGCTAGTTAATATAACAGAAATGACAAGCCTAATAGCACAGACGAAAACTAATGGGTCACTGTTGTCCTACCTGCCTGACGAGAGTTGCCCATTGCTCTGCCTGCTTAGCTTTCATTTTGTCATTCTTCTTTTTGCCCTCTTGCGTTTCCACTTGCACAGTCCCTTCCCCTGATTCCAGAAACTGGAAGGCCAGTGCGGGACAAAGAATGCGGGGAGGGTGGGCATTTATGGACAGTGTGCATTTGGTGTGGGATTGTTAAGAGAGCAGGAGGATTTAGGTATGGATGGAGGTTAAGAGGTTTAGATGTAGGGGTCAGGATGCCATTAAAAGATCGTTCAAGACAAAAGGAAGAAGGAAATATCAGAGTTACACTAAAGTGCTTGTTTGAACTTTGGGATAAAAAAAAAGATTTACAAATAAGGCAGGATTACAAGCAAAGTGTAGGACTTGGCTTGAATCACAGTGGGGGCAGATTTAAAAAATGGTGTAAGTTTTTTTTTAATTTAGATTATATTTATATATAAAAATATGCATAAAAAATAATCATAAAAAGGCTTACACTACCACTGGGGATTTTTTTTAAAGTTTTGTTTTGAAAAAAGATATTATATGATCACCAAGGCTTCATTTTACAAATATAATAATAATAATAATAATAATAATAATTGCTAAAATAAATTATAATTTTAAACAACTCTTTCCTATTTTAATATTTTAAATTGTCATTTTAATCTGTGATGGCAAAATAATACTCCAGTGTCACAAAAGCTTGCAAATATCATTCTAATATGGAGGTTTAACACTTAAAGGGATAGTTCACCCAAAAATAAAAAATTCTGCCATTATTTACTCAACTTTGATTTGTTCCAAACCAGTTTAAATCTTTTTTTTTCTTGATTAAAAACAAAATAAGATATATTTGTGTTTCCTACTATGTATGTTTATAACATCCTTTAAAAAACTTTGCGCAGGAAAAAAAAAAAATTTGATTTTGGGTGAAATATTTCTTTAAAAGACCTTTTTTATATAATCAGTGTTGAAAAACAGTGGTGAGGCTTCATATTGTAAAAAATCAACAGCATTTAACTGAAAAACAGAATTTGTAGGACATATAACTCTTTTGAAACTTTGCAAAATCTTTATTGTCTTTGTAAAATACACTCTTCGGGCAATTTATTAGGTACACCCTACCAGTACCGGGTTGGATCCACTTTTACATTCAGATCTGCCTTGATCTTTTTTGACATAGATTCAGCAAGGGGCTGGAAATATTCCTCAGAAGTTTTGGTCCATATTGACATAACAGCATCACGCAGTTGCTGCAGATTTGTTAGCTGCATGTTCATGATGCGAATCTCTCATTCCAACACATCCCAAAGGTGCTCTATTGGACTGAGATATGGTGACTGTGGTGGCATTTGAGTACAGTGAACTTATTGTCATGTTCAAGAAACCAGTCGGAGATGATTTGCGCTTTATGACATGGTGCGTTATCCTGCTGGAAGTAGCCATCAGAAGATGGGTCCACTGTGGTCATATTTAATTGGCACTAAAGTGTGGCAAGAAAATATCCCCCACACCATTACATCAACACATCAACACCACCACCCTGAACTGGGAATACAAGTCAGGATGGATCCATGCTTTCATGTTGTTGATGCCATATTCTCACCCTACCATCCAAATGACGCAGCAAAAAAGGAGACTCATCAGACCAGTAACATTTTTCCAATTTTGGTGATCCTGTGTGAATCGTAACCTTTGTTTCCTGTTCTTAGCTGACAGGTGTGGCACCCGGTGTAGTCTTCTGCTGCTGTAGCCCATCTGCCTCAAAGTTGTGCATTAAGAGATGCTCTTCTGCATACCTCAGTTGTAACGAGTGGTTATTTGAGTTACTGTTTGTTGCCTTTCTATCATCTCGAACCAGTCTGGCCATTCTCCTCTGACCTCTGTCATCAACGAGGCATGTGTATACAGAACTGCCACTCACTGGATATTTTCTCTTTTTTGCACTATTCTTTGTAAATCCTAGAGTTGGGTGTGAAAATCCCAGAAGATCAGCAGTTTCTGAAATACTCAGTCCAGCCCGCCTGGCATCAACAACTATGCGATGTTCAAAGTCACTTAAATCACCTTTGTGCCCCTTTCTGATGCTCAGTTTGAGCTGCAGCAGACTGTCTTGACCTTGTTTACATGCCTAAATGAACAGATTTGCTGCCATGTCTGTGGCTGATTAGAAATTTGCATTAACAAGCAGTTGGACAGGTGTACCTAATAAAGTGGCCGGTGAGTGTACCGGTAATTGTTTTTTATTAAAAAGAAATCCTTAAAAGAAATTCATATAATTGAAAAAAAAAATACATTATTAAACAGACTTTGAATCCTAAAAATTTCAAATGTGGTCTCAAACCCCACTGTATGTACCCTCCACACTCTAAACCAAATGAAACTATCAAAAACTGTGCTTCCCACAGCGAATGATTTAAAACCCAGCACTGCACATTGGCAAGGATTTTGGTGTGCAATAAAGCCATGCCTAACGTTGCCCAAGTAGCTTGAAAAGAGCCAAGATGGCTGCCAGGGGTCTGCAGTGTGACCCTTCACACAGTGTGTCCTCTATGGGAGGATCTGGGAAGGGCTCGTACCTGGTTGAGGCTGGAGGCCCAGTGCTCTGCCTCTTTGGCCTGTGCTTTATCAGTGTGCTCTTTTCCTGCTCTGTCCTCCACAGTCACACTGCCCTCGCCAATCTGCCTAATGAACCGCAGGAACTACACAATAACGACAACAACAACAACAGCTATTACACATCTACTGCTAACAGCAAACACATTGGCGATGCATTAAACACACACACACCAGTGGTTTCTTCTAGACAGTTAAGGTCAGACATAAGTAAACCACAAGGATAAAGGAGTAACGGCCAAAGGCACAACACATGACGAGGCATGAGCAGAGTTAAATGGAAAAGAGAGAAAAATGTGAACTAAGTAAAGAAATGGCAACAAAAAAATGTGTACAATTTCACATCACTTTAGAATCTACCACAAGAGGATAAAGAAACTCATCTAAATAGGTTAATGTGTTACCCAAACCTTTATAAATATATCCCAAAGTGCAGACTAAAAGGATTCCCTTGAGATAACATTAGATCAGTTTTAGCTTAGCTTAAGTAAACTCTTGTGATGGATCATTTGTGTGATGTGGCACTGGTGAAAGCACAGCAAATTCATTCCAACATGGATCCACTTCAGTCCGGCAAAACATATTGCATTATATTAACAAAGTCCCAGGGATGCAACATTTAATACAGAGTATCTTAAATATAGTAATAAACCTTCTTACATGTGGTTAAAGTCTTTACAACTCTCTGATTTAGAAGACTAGTTCACCCAAAAATTAAAATTCTGTGATTAATTTCTCCCCCTCATGTTGTTTCAATATGTTCCCGAAGTTATATGATAGGTTTTTGTATATGAGGTTTATATGAGGTTTTTGGTGAAAAACAAAGCGAAACTGAACCACTGTTTAACAAAAATCCAGATCTTGACACGGTTTTGAATGTTCATGAAACTGGTCTTGAGTCAGTTCATGCTGACTCTCCCAGGAAAACACACAAGTTGTGAGAAATCGTGATAAATAGAAATTATGCGACAGAAAATATGTGCTGGAAATATGTATGCTGTGCTCGAAGCACCAGATATTCTACTCCATAAAGAAACTACAAGGATTTCAACTTGAGTCATGTTCTGTTTTATAAAATTGTGATGTGAGCATCATACATGAAATTTCTGTTTATTTTAACCAAACCCTGTATTACATGACTGTCATTTAATTTTTTAAATTAGATATGGCAATATTTACATAAACCACTTATATAACCAACAATATAACCTAAACCAACTGCCGACATTCAACATTCATAATTATTTTGTTAATTAATATGCCATGTTAGTGAGTGAATGTGTGTGTACTCGTTTTGGTGGTTTAAAAAGACAGAAATTTGTATAATGACAATGATAACGATTTGTATAATGCATTACAATATTGAGGTGGTTTATGAAGACATAAAGCACCTCAATGTAATCCAAAATATTAAAAAAATTAACCAACTAACAGGGTCTTTTGATATTTAAAATTTGCCACAGGTTTCCTGCGAAGGTTGGGTGTAAGGGTAGGGTAAGGCCATAAGAATAAGTGATTTTTCTGCATAAAAAACATTAGACAAAAGAGACTTTAACTAAGAAGCCTTTTCTATTGGATTGTGTTGGTTTTAAATTGTGAGGAATTCATTTTATTCAGTACATTAAGTTTGAGTGTTTGTGTGTATGTGTGTGTGTGTGTGTACGTGTTTTTGTGACATATCAGGACACAAATCTGTATAATGACACAGGTATTACAAGAAGGTGGTGAAATATGAGGACATTGCTGATGTCCACATTTTCAAAAAGCTTGTGAAACACACAGAATTATTATTATTATTATTTTCCAGAAAATAAAACTACAGTTTCCTGGGAGGGTTGGGTTTAGGGGTAAGGTCGGATTGGGTGTACAGTGTACAGTTTGTACAGTATAAAAACAATGGAAACCTATGTAATGTCCCAACAATTCACAAAAAAAATGTGTGTACATGTGTGAGTGTGTGCGAGACCCGGGTTCCAATCTAACCTGAGAAGTTATTTATTTAATTTTTTTTTTGTGTGTGTGACCACCGTTACAAGCTGTATAGGAGGAAACAAACACATACACGAGGAAAAAATAGGATAGATATAAGTGCAAAGGCAAATTTAAGCACTTAATTTTAAGCACTTAATTTAAGCCAATAGCCTTGTGGTTAGTGCATCGACACATTGCACCGTGGTATTCACGGCGACCCGAGTTCGATTCCCGGCTTGAGGTCCTTTGCCGACCCTTCCCCTATATCTGCTCCACATATTTTTTTGTCTCTAAATCTCCACTTCTTTATCACAATAAAGGTGAAAACCCCTAAAAAATAATTATACAAAAAAAACTTTTCCAGTACTTTACAAGTGTGGCAGATTACATAATTATATATACATACTTCATCACATCATATCAAATTGAAATTATTTTATTCTGTAGTACAATATTGTTTTATAAAAAAAATTAAGGCATGTTTACCCCAAACCCGACATTGAATTACTGTCATTTACACTGGTAAATATTAATTGCTCGCATCTTAAATATATAATGTTTTAACTTAAATTTATTTTAAATTTAAAAAAGACAGATCATGCTACAGGCACGTGCACACACTGCAGTTTTCATTTTACGCAAAAGCTAAGAGTTTATTTAAATAGTTCATTATTATTACCTTGTTAGTTAGATAAATTATTATAAAAGAAACACAATGACATTTTCAATCGGTTTTAAGCATTTTATCCAAAAACTAAGCTCTTTTCAAAGCTTGTAAACACTAGACTAAAAGATAAGCATTTTCAAGGACTTCCAGCAACCGTAAGAACCTTGCAGATAGATACATAAAAAAGGTAAAAAAAAATAATAATAATAATAAATCTGGAGCTAACTAGTAATAATAATTTACAACATTAGAAATTATTATATTTTGATGTCTTAAAAACGAGCCTTAATGCTGGCAGTTGTTTATTACCATTGCTGAATGTGGTCCAAAATAGGGCATAGAGTATTAGCACAACACCAGGGTGAGTAAATCATTAATGAATTGTCATTTTGGGGTGAACTTTCTCTTTAAATGGCTAACTTCAATTATAAAATGTGTGACAGCTCTATAGTAAAAACCTGAATGTTCAACAAACAGTAACATTTATGAATAATTATCAAAATAAATAAATCCTCTGCCAAAAATTCTGTAGCTCATTATCCGAGCCTTTGGGTTTTTGTTGTTGCCAAGTAACACAGCAACATGGTGCAAAATAAAGAAAGGGCTGATCAATTTCTTACCAAAACATTTATTCAGAAACCGACCCTTTCATGTTTGAGGTGGTTCAGAATGTCTGCTTGATGTATCTTTGCTTGTTGACTAAAGTGCTTCATGCTGAGCTCAAAGATCAACACAGAAAGCAGAAGGATCATACACTGAGCTGACTCTCACCTCTGTGTTCTGTAGTTTAGGATCGTCCACTTTGGCAACAAGTTCATTTGCGGTTTGACGTAGTTCTTCACCTGACTGGTATTCTTGAGCCCTGATAGGGTGAAAAAAGGCATTCTTAATTCTTTCAAATATTTTAATGCATGGACATAACGGCTGTCAATTTCCAAAATACCTTTAATATAACTACACTACCTGACAAAAGTTGTCACCTATTCAAGTTTAAGGAACACCAAATAATAACTTGACTTCTACTTGATCATTTGGTATCAAAAGTAGCTAATATGAAAGGAAAAGGCCTCTAGATTACTTTTTTTTTTTGCAAAATAAAATATAATCAAGCCTTGATTTTGAATTATTTAATTAGGACAAGTCTGACTTTGCTTAGACAAAAGTCTTGTCACTTAACAGACATAATGTACAGTATAGAATTTAAAGCCACAGTGCTTTGGAAAAATAATGTATATTGTGTATGACCCCCATGAGCTTGGTTGACTGCATCCATATATCTCTGCAATACACATAACTTATTCATAAAGTCATCTGGAATGGCAACGAAAGCGTTCTCGCAGGACTCCCAGAGTTCATCAAGATTCTTTGGATTCAACTTCAATGCCTTAATAATATTCATATCTGATGACTAGGCTGGCCAATCCTGGAGCACCTTGACCTTATTTGCTTTCAGGAACTTTGATGTGGAGGCTGAAGTATGAGAAGGAGTGCAATCCTGCTGAAGAATTTGCGCTCTCCTGTGGTTTGTATCGTAATGGGCAGCACAAATGTCTTGATACAGTACCTCAGGCTGCTGATGTTGACATCCACTCTGCAAATCTCTTGGATGCCCCCATACTGAATGGAACCCCAAACCATGATTTTTCCTTCACCAAACTTGACTAATTTCTATGAAGATCTAAGGTTCATGTGGGTTACAATACGTCTTCCGCAGTATTCGTGATGATTGGGATGAAGTTCAACAGATCATTCATCAGGAAAATCTAACTTTTGTCACTTTTCCAAATGATCAACTAGAAGTCAAGTTATTATTTGCTGTTCTTACAACTGGGATCCATGACAAAAATTGTGTAAGGCAGTGTACACTTTCCAAACTATGTCAAATTAAGATCTTTATAACTTTCTCAATTTAGGATGTCAAAACACTGTTAATATCTAGCCTGTTGATCTACTATTTGCTAACACTAGTCAATGCAACATAAAAAAATAAACATTTAAAATTTTGAAATAAATAAACATTGTAATAACTGTGAGCTAACACATTTTCCAATATTATCAAAGTAGTATTATTATAAAGTGTTACTGTATAATGCATGTACACTACCGTTTAAACGTTTGGAGTCAGTACAATGTCTTTTATTTAGCAAGCCAGGGTTTTTGCAAGTTTCTTCAAGTGAAATTTCAGATTTTTTAAGACTCTTAAGACTATTATGAATGAAGTTTTTGACTTATACAGAGCTGAACAACAAGCATTTTTTTTGTAATCATGTAAAGAGATGTGTTGCTTTAGTTTTCTTTCCCTGATTAGAGAATAGTTTAATTTGGAGAATTTCCTGTAAACATGTATTACAGCTGTTTTGAACTGCATTTCTTTGCAATAAAAAAACTAAATATAAAAGTGTTGGGTGTCAGCCCGATAGGGTAGCTTTACCAGGCCATAGGTAAATCAAGACCTGTTTAAGATGATTTAAGACCTACAACAGAATAGGGCTCCTCGATTTTGGGAAAAATCATAATCACGATTATTTTGGTCATAATTGTAATCACGATTATTCCAAACGATTATTAGTTGAAGTCAAAATAATTAGCGCTCCTGAGAATTTTTTTTTTTAATAAATATTTTCCAAAAAATGTTTAACAGAGCAAGGAATTTTAACAGTATTTCCTCTAATATTTTTCTTCAGGAGAAAGGCTTATTTGTTTTGTTTGGCTAGAATAAAAGCAAATTTAAATATTTTGAAACCTCTTTTAAGGTCAATATTATTAGCCCATTTAGGCAATATATATATTTTTGATTGTCTGCAGAAGAAACTACTGTTATATAATGACTTGACTAATTACCCTAATTAAGCTTTTGAATCACACTTTGAATTTGAATGTTTGTATTTAAAAAAATATCTACTAAAATATTATGAGCTGTCATCATAGCAAAGATAAAATTAATCGGTTATTAGAAATGAATGATTAAAACTATTATGTTAAGAAATCTTCTTTTCATTAAACAGAAATTGGGGGGAAAAGGTTGCTAATATTCAGAAGGGCTAATAATTCTGACTTCAACTGCATATATTATTTTCCTCCCTGCAAAGGAAAGAAAAATAAATACAATAGAATAAAAATATGAAACAAACTGTGCTTTTAGCATCTTCACCGTAAGAAAAATACTTTAGCTACAAAAGTCTTCAGTCAAGAGCAAAGAGGGATTTTCTCATTTTTTTTATCAATCATGATAAAACAGGCGGCAGCTGTGCTCTGTCACTTTAATGGTTTCGCTTTCACGTGTCTTTTGATTCTCAACTCGTTTGTTTATTACAAAATGAGGGCTAATATGAATAATCATTAAACACCGCGTTTTGACATCTATTTGAACATAAAAGCGCTCGCGTTAATGACTTTAGATGTGTGTGCTCTCTGCTTGTCACAATGTCTGAATGAGACCAAGTGCAGACCGCATGCTTCTGACTGTCTGCACGCCGCACATACATAAGCATGCGGTCTTTTGCGCTTTTAAGAGCAACAAGTGAGGACAACTGGACAGGGGGCGGTAAATAATGGAATAATCGTTTATCTCGATTAATGGTTTTTCATAATCGTTAGAAGTCATAATCGAAATCGGATTTTCGATTAATTGCACAGCCCTACAACACAATATTTCAGAGAATTTAAGACTTTTTAAGGCCTAAAATTTTGCTTTTGAAATTTAAGGCATTTTAAGACTCCCTGCCAGCATTAATAAATAAATCATACGTGATGTTTGTTAATATTATTCCCTCTTAGATGCATAAATACCATTCTTTGTCCTGTTCTCTTTCTCCCAAATCTCCCAGCCATAGCTTCTCCTCTGACTGCTCCAGGTACTCCTCTGCCCAGCGGCCCGGATCTATGACACAGGAGAAAGGGGAAGTGAGTAATGGAAAAAAAGTAAAGCTTTGGAGGATGAAGGGATGGCTGGGCATAGAAGAGCAAAGATTTAGTCAGCGCAAATCAACCTGATATCCAATGGAATCTAATGACATAATGAAATCTAATAGCATCTTTAAAAGAATATTTCTGGGCTGTAACAGCACATATTAAGTGATAATGAAATCCTAAAACACATTTCTAAGATGTTTAGGGATGAAAATGTTTTTGCATTTTTCTAAGCAAATTCATTCTTCCGATTTGAAAAGCAAATTTGAAACTAAAATATGATGTATATGTGTTCATTTATAGTGATTCATAGTGGCTGCAACAAATAGAGAGTAAACATAACGTCATCTGATTTTGAGCATTAATCCACATTTATTCATGATAAAGAGCTCCAATCTGATATATTTATATAGTCAGTAGCAACCAATGTTTTATTGTTGCTCCGCAAGTCTAAACCATTTTTTAATACCACCATAATAAAAAGATGTTAATTTAGTCAATTTTGAGATTTGTATTTCCCATAATTGTTAGTTTTTCACAATAAAATAAAAGAATCCGACCTGTGATTTTATGAACCCAATAGATACTAGATAAAACTAACATTTTGTTCTTTGATTTGTATGAGTGTAACACAGAAGACCCTAAATACATTTCTGATGAGTCAGGGACTAAGACCCAGAGGGAGGCTGAATTAACAAAATAATTAACAAAGCAGATATTGAATTACGCTCTGTATGGTTGGTGTCAGTCAATAAATCAATTTTTCTTCACATTTTCTGACCGATATATCAAAGAAAACCAAGCATTTTATGACATAACTAGCTACTCAGTATTTTGCTTTCATTTTCTTAGATAATCAGGTGAATCAGTATCCGTGTGGGCATTACGACCTAGGGGAGAATGTTAGTTGGCAGAGGCAGTAGCACAACACAAGTTACAGTGATCTTACTGAGGGATATTGACCACACAGTTCAGTTGCATTAAGTACAGTTATTCAGTACTCACACTCTCAGTTTCAAGTCAGTAATGCAAAACAGTTCATCTAAAGCACAGATAAAAGTTCACCTCAGATTGTTGACCTGATCTTACTACAAGCGCTCCGGTCAGTTTTCAAAAGCAGCATCTTGTTCACATATCCTGCACTTGAGTTAGCCACACCCACTTCTTTATATGTAGTGGTGTAAATGGACTAAATCAAATCTATTAGAATTGACAGTTTATTCAACAATAACTATATAAGGTTGATGTCAATTTTATTCGCCCACCTGTGAATTTGTCTTTGTTTTTAAATATTTCCCAAATTATGTGAGAGCAAAGCATTTTTCACAGTATTTGCTAAAATATTTATACTTATTTGTTTTATTTCGGCTAAAATAAAAGCAGTTTTAATTTTAAGTTATGTTATAATTTATTACGTTACAATATTATTAACCCACTTAGGCAATATTTTTTAAATTGTCTAAAGAGCAAACCATCAAATTACAATGACTTGCCCAACCTAATTACCTAGTTAAGCCTTTAAATAGTACTTTAATCTGAATACTATGATCTTGAAAAATATCTAGGAAAATATTATTTACTGTCATCATGGCAAAGACAAAGTAAATCAGTTAGTAGACATTAGCTATTAAAACTATTATGTTAAGAAATGTATTAAAAAAAAATCTTCTCTCTGTTTAACAGAAATTTGTAAAACAAAAACATAAAATAATTTAAATTTAACAGGAGACCTAATAATTCTGACCTCAACTCCTCAATATTTTCAAGCCAAAGCGAGCCAAGCTCCCACAAATTGAACAGTAACATACTGCGTTTCTGATTTTCAAATCAGAGGTGTTATGAACATTTTAAGACATTTTAAATTCATATTGACCTGCCACTTCATTGATAAATTCTCTGGTCCAGTCGGCATCGGCTGGATCAAGAGCTGCCTGTCCAGAAGAAGAGGCGGCATCAGCAGTAGACAGAAACTCTGATGCCCAGTCGCCAGACAGAGCCAGAGCTGCCACATCGGGAGCTGAGAAGTGAAAACATACAGTTATAGTGACATCAACAAGTGTTGAACTTGATGTGGATGTGTGTTTGTGCTGATACCTCTCTGTGGAGCCTGTCTGTAGTTCTGCTGATCAATCTGTTGCATCTCCTCCAGCAGTTGACCCATATCAAAACTATGAGGAGGCCGTTGTGGACCCTGCAGAAACTCACTGACCAGCTGCATTCAAAAAAGAAAACAACAGGACAGGTTGTAAGAACATGATCACAGACTATATGAGCTTATACAAGCTGATCAAGTCATTTAAAACAGATTATACAAACCTCTTCTTCAGTGGCTATTTCAATGGGAGTAGGAGGAATCTATGGGGAAAAAGGGAAAAATCCTAATCAATAATATTTTCAAGATTGCAATTAACAATTACTTAAACAATTAATCTACTGAAAAAGGATTAGATTAATCAAGTGGCTATTTTTGAATGCATATTTGGAATATTTTCTCATTGGTTGATTAATTCTTTAATTCACTTTCTAATAAATAATAATCGCAACTACTACTATTAATAAACAATACAAAAAAATGCAATACTATTAATAAAGGTTTATTTAAACAGCAGGTCTACAGACCTTGCATTTGAGAGAATGTTGTTGAATGTGAATAAAATGTATATGTAAAAATAACAAAACAAATGTAAGTCCAAACTTTTGGTTATGGGATTTGAGATTTTTGAGAAATTCTCAAAAATTAAGTCTCTCTTTTTATGAATTCCCTGCATTTTAATATATTTGTGTCAAAGATGCTTTATTTATGTTTCATTGCCATATCAGCAACATTGGCTATATTCATGACAAGACCTATACTAAATATACAACAATAACTTTTTAAACATTGCCCTTAAAATATTTCCAGTAACACTTTATAATAACTACACACTATGAATCATTTTTTAAATACAAAAAAATATCCAGTAAAATATTATTTACTGTCATCATGGCAAAGATAAAATAAATCAGTTATTAGAGATGAGTTATTAAAACTATTATGCTTAAAAATGTGTTGCAAAAATCTGCCCTCTGTCAAACAGAAAATGGGAAAAAAATAAACATGCGGTCTAAATATTCAGGGGGTCTAATAATTCTCACTTCAACTGTATATATATATATATATATATATATATATATATATATATATATATATATATATATATATATTAGGCATGCCACAGTTCTCAATAAAATATTGAACCTTACGGTACGACCTCCACGGTTCAATACGCGCTTGTGAATTGCGGTTTTCTCGGTTTTGCATTTATTTCAAATATATATATATATATATATATATATATATATATATATATATATATATATATATATATATATATATATATATATATATACATATATCAAATTGCATCACAATTTGTAAATAATGCAATACTAAATTTAGTAATAAACGATTAAAATGGGCGACGCAGTGGCACAGTATGTAGTGCTGGTGTCTCACAGCAAGAAGGTCACTGGGTCGCTGGTTCGGGTCAGTTGGCGTTTCTGTGTGGAGTTTGCATGTTCTCCCTGCGTTCGCATGGGTTTCCTCCGGGTGCTCCGGTTTCCCCCACAGTCCAAAGACATGCGGTACAGGTGAATTGGGTAGGCTAATTTGTCCATAGTGTATTAGTGTGTGTTAATGATTGTGTGTGGATGTTTCCCTGAAAGGGTATCCGCTGCGTAAAAACCTGCTGGATAAGTTGGCGGTTCATTCCGCTGTGGCGACCCCGGATTAATAAAGGGACTAAGCCGAAGAGAAAATGAATAAATGAATGAATGAATGAATGAACAATTAAAATGTAATTAAGTATGAAAACACAATCATTGAGCACATTTTAAATGCGCTTATAAGTCAAGAATACAGCATTTGTAGTTGAATTTATAAACTGCTTACTAACGTCTATTTAGAGTTAATACTTAACATATAAAGAATTAACTATTTGCTAATGCTTAATAGATGATTCATAGTGTGTAGTTATTATAAAGTGTTACCATATATCCTTACACAAGTCACAGGTGTTCCCCTTTCAATAAATATGAGTGTGTACGCCTTGAGTAGCTGATTCTACATCTCAGATGTACACCCTGATTATGTCTGTTTTCAAAATGGTAATCATTTCCTTAATTTACAAATGGATTCACTTCATACAATATTTTGTGTTAAAGATATGTTGGTGATTCTATTTTCCCTAAGTGTTTACTTCAGAATTTCATATAACTTTAACAAAAATAAAATGTCAACCTAAGTGAAATAATATTCCATCAATCAACAAAACAGATATATTTATGCAAAATAAAAAAAAATAATTTACACCTGTACTTTAAAAAATACATTAAAAAAAAAGAATAAGAGTGATCATACTTAATGTTCTTTAAAATGATTCAAAACTGCTAACAAATAGGTATAGTGGCAAAGCATAAAGACTTAAAAGGAGATCTGACTAACATTTTGGAGCTGCACTGTGATGCTTAAATATGCCTGACAAGCTTATTTTGTTATATAAACTACTATCTTGCATAAATCAGGCTAAAATGATTCTCATTCCAATGAATGAGCTTAAGCTTTTGATGCTTGAAAACACCTTTTTATCTCTGATCCATTTACATAACCAATGTCACCAAATATATCAGCACATCGTTTGGTCTCAGCCCTTAACATGTAGTCATGATTACAAAAATAAGGTTTTGTAACTTACAGTGGGCGTTGATCGATGTCTCCAAGCCCCGCCCTCTTGGGTCATGTGACCAGTCAGTTTCATGAGGGGATTGGCTCCCCCACATTCCGCCTCCACTAACTCCCGCATCGCCATGGCAACACACCCTCAGGCTGGATCAAACTAGCACCTTAAGATATCTATAAGTAAATGAAACATCATCACTGAGTGGTATGGAAGTAGTTAAAAATGTGACATTAAAAGTTTCGAACAGTAGTCTGGGACCTTTTTAAATCTTTTTACCAATCCCAAACCATTGGGATAATGGCATTCTGGAATATTTTCATGTTTCACACTGCACTTAATTTACCCAGGGTTAACAAATAGTCCTGAATATGAAGGAGCAGCCTAAATCTTTAAACTGGGTCAATGTTCTTCTTCATTTTATTACAAAAACACAGCATACAACCAGTTGAAATAAATGCTCTACCATCCTCATATTATATACTGCTGACTGCAACTCTCTCTATCCTGAGTGGACTTTTCATGAAACTGTCTCCTATATTTACTGCAACTCTTGCATTTGCATCACTATTTGACTTCACTATCAGTGTAAAATAACGTGTTGCTCAAGTTGCAGTGTAAATCATCCTTTGGCCTGGAGTTAAACAAGGTGTTTAGAAAAGATGATAACCAAGGAGTATTAAGCAGACTATTTTATGTCTAAAGTCCAAATCCCAATTTATTAACATTAATAAATAATTATTTTAACAGCTCAATATTTTTTCTCCTTTTACAAATTTACTAAGTGAATGACAGTTTTCTAGCCTGAAGGATAACCACATTACAGTGCCTAATGTAAAACAATGGCTTTGTGTTGACATGAGGTAAAAAAAGACCCGTGACCAATTTAACACAAGAAAAAAATAAATGTTTTTTTTTTTAATGTTTATATATATGTTGGGATCAAATGTTGGGATCATTATTTATATATATATATATATATATATATATATATATATATATATATATATATATATATATATATATATATATAAAATGATCCCAACATTTGAAAAAGTAACCATTTTCTATTATTTTTGTTACACTATAGGATACAAAGTAAGGATTATGGGGTCAAATTTGATCAGCTAGCTATAACACACACACACACAGACACAGACACAGACACACACACACACACACACACACACACACACACACACACAAACCTTAGAAAATATAAACCTTTACTTGAATATTATACAACGATTTAAATAGTCTGTTAAATAAAACACTGACGATGGAAAACCGAGATATTCAGAGTTTTTGATGGATCATGAGGTTGCTTCTTCATGCAAAACAGATGTGCAGACCGAAAATAAATTAGTTGTTTCGTTTTGGAGGTTTAGTGAAGGTGTATCCCTTCTTACCCTTGAGACAAACAGATTATACAGAATACTAATACCACACAAGAGGTAATATATATTGCAGTAAAGTTTTTTTATTGTTATTAAGTATAACAAACACTTTATAAACAATTTTACATCATTTTTACAGGCTGTTCTAGAGAAATGCAGAGTGCATCTATGGGTCCTGGTCCTCTACAGATGAAAACCACTAACCTGTAACCCAAAGGTTGCAGAAAATCTATAACAATTCATAACAGTTACTGTAAACAGTTTAATCTCAGCAGGTGATTTGTTTGTATGAATATCTGCCTTTAAGTCCTATGTCACCTTACCTGGCATGAAATAAAACAGACACAATGAATCATCAGCTTGAGATAAATCCAGCGGACTGAGCCACCTTTCCACTGGCATAAACATATGCTCCATCAGCTTATCCAGACTAGAAGGATTACACAGATTTCATTGTTCCTGAAAACAGCTATTAACAATTAACCAAGACTGCATGTGAACGACCAACTTACTGTCCTTATGCAATAATCCCAAAACAACCTGCTGGCCAGAATTGATGGACAAAATTTAATTAGTGAATCTAGCAAGAGAGTTTGGGTTATGAACGGGCACCGGTTGAATGGTCATCGGGTCATTGATAACATACAGTGGATACAGTCAGACTAGACACTTTTGCACTGATCTGCTGTCAGTTTTGCTTCAGCACAGAAACATTAGTGAGTGTGATGAGTCTCCTCTAACGGCAGTCAACGTTATCCACAACTATTCGCAGTCGTGTTTGCGTAGCGTTAGTATTGAATGGTTAAGGATAAAGCTGATAGCTCAACTGCAGACAGTTAGCTTACAAGCTAAATAAACTCCACTCACCTGCACAGGCGACGTTGTCACCTCTTTTTCTTCTCTTTCGCCTTTTATCCCGTGAGTAATGCGGTTAAAACAAAGACCAAACCCGACCGAGGAAAGCAGGCCCTAAAGACACGGCAGCGGTGGACGGTCCTCTAGTTGTCGGGGTCTGACGGCTAAAAATGCTGCGCTGGTGACCGTCCTGTCTTTATTTACCTTCCCCGTGTGGCCCAGTGAAACAGGAGCGAACCAGCCACACGAACCTACACGCTACGCTCCGGCTATTCACAAACGCCATTTGCGTAAAGAGCGACGGCAGGCGCTTTGAGCTACGCCAAGCGTCACGACGGATGTAGGCAGGTTTACGCTGAAGTTACGTAAAATTCCTAAAGTGACAGCGCATGTCTTAATGACAGGATGGTATCCTTTTGTTATCATCCAGGAAATGTGCTTTTAAATGGTTTTGTACAGTATTTTAAATGAATTCCTTTTTGTGCATTACTTGTTTTTTTAGATAAAGTTGTGTATTATTTTAATAATATGCTTGTTTATTTGAATTAGTTTATCAATAAACGGCTACAACGTTGTAGAAAAACACTCAGGTCAATCTACCCTGAAAAAAAGATGTGCAAACAATTTATATGTGGTGAATTTAAAAAAATCAAATTTTATTTATTAATGGTCAACTTAACTTGTTTGTTTAAATGTGAACCAAATAAATTGTTTACAACCACTTAACTTAAAAAATTTTGTAAATCCAAGGAATTATTTTAATTTTTTTTTCAGTGTAGGGCACTTAAACTTTATTAGTGTGTAAACAAAACACCAAAAAGTGAGAAAATAAATGACTTAGATATAGTTTAAATATATTATGGTTCAAATGTCTGTATAAGGATGGCAGACAAACACTAAATATAATATCTAATATTAGCTGATCTATTGATTTGTTTGTTATTTATGCTGACGTCGCTCTGCTAAAGTAAAGGTAACCTCCTGGTTGATGTTAGACAATGATATTATGTGATGTTTATTCTTAAAGTTTGTGACTGCAGCTAATTTACTGTATGTGAAAACAACAAAGATGTCTTGTTTTTAATTTATTAAACACATCATACTCTTCGAGGACTCTAATTTTGATGTTTTTTACCATATAATAATAGCATTTAGTTCCAATGTTTTTTTTTTTTTTTAATATAAATTATAAATAATTTCAGAGCACTTTAAGACTTAAACCACAGTATTCATTAATTTATTTTTCTTGGGCTTAGTCCCTTTTTTTATCAGGGGTCACCACAGCGTAATGAACCACCAACTATTCTGCCATATGTTTTATGCAGCGGATCCCCTTCCAGCCATAACCCAGACAAACCTCAGTATATTTGCTTCAATTATGCAGAATTATCTTATATGTTTTATTCATGCATTCATTTTCTTTCGGCTTAGTGCCTTTATCAAAGGTCGCCACAGCGGAATGAACCGCCAACTTATCCAGCATATGTTTTACACAACAAATGCCCTTTTAGCTGCAACCCAATACTGGGAAACATCCATACACACTCATTCACACACACATCAGGCCCATAGCCGGGGGGGTTTGGGTGGTTCGAAAGACCCACCCTCCACTGACAAAGGTGCAGAATTTGTCCCATACATGAGCTCATTTGACATATTTTGACTGCTTTTCCATCACAAATATTGAAAATAACCCATCGAAAAAGGCTTTAAGACCAAACAGAATCCTCTGCTGGCTGTCGTCACTTCAGCTTATCAGTTTTGATCAATGCAAACAATTGTTTTTCATGAGTCCAACATCTAGCTGTGCCACAATCTGAAGAAAGTTAAGTCATCTTACACTACTGACTGACTGTACTGTTGTTAAATACAGAAAACATTTTACAAGTAACTTTTATTCCAAATCTTGGACCTTATTGGTGAAACAAAAAATTATCAATAAAAAGGTGTAAAGCATCAAAGGTGGTCAATATTAAAGTTAGGGTTAATTTTAATAATAATCAGACTATTGCTATCCATTAATTTTCAATTGAACTTTTTTACAAAAGAAAAATGTAGAAAAAAATGTTAAGCTTTATTTATTTGTTTATTCAAACTGAGTAAAATTGAATGTAGTGGCCAGAATGTTATTTGGTTAATAAATAACAAAAAGTTACAGTTTTTTATTAAATACATCTCGCTAACACAATTGTTTTTGTTATGTTTTTTTTTTTACAAATTTGTAAGGAAATGTTTTGGTACATCAAAAAGTTTGGTTCTGATGACCATTCGACAAGCTAATTAAACAAAAAAGTGCTTAAAGGGCCATGAAACCCTTCTGTTTCGGCAGGGTTTTTTACACCTCTACTTTGGAAAAAGTCAGGAAAGTGGGCGTGTCCAGCTCTGTTTAGGGGAGTGTCGGAGGAGAGAAAAAGGCATGGTCCGTAAAAATTTGCACAAAAATGGGAGTGTCGGTTTGGGCACGTGCTGATTTTCACACAGGCAAAACAAACACACAAACGCAGAGTAGAAAGACAGTGACTATGTTTATCAGTAATCAAATTATTTGCCAAATTATTAAATAGTGGACTTTAACTGCAGTTTGGCTCTTTCATTCAGGAATTTCATTCATGCCCCTCATGACAAATGAGGAATTGCTGGAAGCGTGTATGTTTCATGCAATGTTTGTTACAGCATGACGAATAAGAGAAAAAAACCCCTCTCTGAAACTTAGGTGCACTCTGTAGGTAGCGTCAGAAAGCCGTGTGTGTTATTCCTGTCACAAAATGCAGCAAAAATCCTCCATGACGGTAACCTTGGTTGTGGTGCTTGCACGTTTACACTCGGGAGAGCAGCATTTACAGCAGATTTTTCAGTCCATAATATTGTAGTGATATTAACATACGGTAAACTTTATTAACTTAGAAATCATATGACTAAGGTCTGTCTTTAAACACTGAAAGAGTACTGCTGACGATACGAACTAACTTCACCTCTGAGTAAACAAACAAGGACCACTAGTCGCTCACTTACCAAATATGTAGAGACAGGACAATCAACACCAACTGGTTCTGCGTCTTTATTAAAAGGAGACAAGCGGCAATTCCAGATTTCACCATTTCCACATGAGAAAAGCTCTCGGGTAAACAATGTTCCTTAGACATGTATTTCTATGGCACGTCGCGTGCACTGTAATCCACACGTGAGTCCAGCAGTGCTCTCATAAAGGGAAAATTAAAACAAAACCTTCACTGCAGCACATTATAAAAACAACACTGACGACCCGTATCTCCAAACAAATTATGTTCTCCCACTTGGCAACACAACACAGCGTCTCTCTGCCATCTGAACACTATAACTGGTAAAAACAGGCTACACAACTCTCAAAACAGTCTTGGAAGCTATCATGCATATTAATGAAGTTGCACCGCATACACAATAGAGTGCGCTGATTGGTTTGAACCAAGTCTTACTCATGAATGAATGCAGCACACTCAGAGACGTAATAACTAAGCCCACCCGGAATCTGCGAGCGCAGAATTCCGCAGATTTCTGTAGATTTTTAGCCCATAATTAATTATGTTTATTTACTTGAGTAAATGTGTGTAAATCTAAATTTATTCATTCATTCATTTTCTTGTCGGCTAAGTCCTTTTATTAATCCGGGGTCGCCACAGCGGAATAAACCGCCAACTTGTCCAGCAAGTTTTTACGCAGCGGATGCCCTTCCAGCCACAACCCATCTCTGGGAAACATCCACACACACACACACACACACACACACACACACACACACACACACACACACACACACACACACACACACACACACACACACACACACACACACACACACACACACTACGGACAATTTAGCCTACCCAATTCACCTGTACCACATGACTGTGGGGGAAACCGGAGCACCCGGAGGAAACCCACGCGAAGGCAGGGAGAACATACAAACTCCACACAGAAACACCAACTGAGCCGAGGTTCGAACCAGCGACCTTCTTGCTGTGAGGCGACAGCACTACCTACTGCGCCACTGCCTCGCCCTAAATCTAAATTTATTTAGTTTTTTTATTAATTACAGTAATATTATTGACTAATTTGAAAATGTTCATCTGATTTATGTACAATGCAGTTTGTTAAGTAATATTTTCTGTCTTTTAGTAGATATCTTATATGAGACTCTTGCTTTGTTTACCAAACAAAGTGGATCTAATTAGATTTGCAATTTAAACATTAAATAGAAGTTAAAAAGATATTACTTTTTATTTCACATATTAAGGTTTTAGTTATGATACTCCCAAAATAATTCCGCAGAAATCTGCAGATTTTTACCAAAATTCTCCGAAGAAATAGCAAAAAACGTCCGCAAATTCCATCTGGCCCTGGAAATAAGGAAGTCCCAGGTACAGACGTCCAGTTTACATGCTGGAATACATGCTAAGATCTCATGGCGGTGACGCAGCTTCAAAAATTAATTTTAAACCGGAAGTACGAATTTGCTTGAAATAACACAAAAACAACCAATTTTCACTTTTTAGTGAAATATATGTGTCCTAATAGTGTTTTTAGCAGTGTGGGACACATATACGACTGTCAACAGCTCAAAAAATGTGGTGTTTCGTGACCCTGATGTCATTAAACGGTAGTGTTTAAACCTCATAATTAAATAGAACCACTCCTTTTACCAGGCCTGCACATTTATACACAACGGCCAATTTAGTTTACCCAGTTCACCTATAGCGCATGTCTTTGGACTGTGGTGGAAACCGGAGCACCCGGAGAAAACCCACACCAACACAGGGTGAACATGCAAACTCCAATCCTTACTAACCGTTACATTCTAAAACTTTTCACATCCCATTCACAGCTAAAATAATATTACACAAATTATGTTCACATATTCTATAACTAGTACCGCTTGTTCTGAAATACGTGTATCATTTTCAAGACGTTAACATGAAAAAAAGAGCTCACCTCTGACGTCGTCCATGTGTTTTTATTATGAATTTTTTTGAACATATTACTTCTTCAGACGGTTATCAATAACAATCAATCCATATAATTCATGTCATTGTGTCAATAAGTATAGTTAATTGTCCCAATGGTAACCATTGTAATAATATAGCTTATTAATGCAATTTGTATCCATTCTTAATATCACACTGCAAAAACAACAGGCCTTTATTTACTGACAGGTTTCCACTGTACACTAACACAGACAGAGAAATAGTCACAGGGAGAAAGAGAGAGAAGGAGTGCGAGCTGAAAGGAGGACGGGTGGCACGGTCGTACATTCAGAAAACCAAAAAAAAAGGCGAAATAAAGCAGCGTGTATCTAAAGAGTGTCAGGAGAGAGAAAAAGGGAAGATGACAGCAGAGGTGAAAAGTGTTCTAGGCATAACAATAATGTGCCTTTCCGTTTCACTGTGATATTAATTACACGATTGAACACACAAATAAATAGACATTCATCAAGCCAATCGTTACCGCTCTTATTACTAATACTATTATTGTCATTATCACTGTATATTACCAACAGAGATATTCGAAAAAGAAATACCTAGCCTATCCGAAAGTGCAAAGACTGAAAATGACCAAAAAATTAAATGATAATAATAGTAGTAGTCATTTGTATTTACATACATTTAAGTACAATCAAAACTGCCCAGGTTGAGCGAACATTCTGATACAGCAGAGGGCGTTGTGTTTGTCGTGAGGTTGTGAGAAGAGTCGCACAAAAGATCGGTGTGTGCGCGCGTGTGTATTGTGATGCTTAAAAGAAAGCACTTGCATACCTAGCTGTAGTCTATCACTATGACGAAACACCTTTACGGACTAATCCTTTATATCTGTACAAGGGAGTTTGTCAAGGAATGTATCGAGACAGATTGTGCAGAGGAAATACAGCTACTGGAGTGTTTTGTACTGGGCACTACACGTTATATTAAGGCCCCGATATACTCACTGCGAACTTCGCTTTACATTTGCAACTATGTAGCAACTAGAGTGTGGCATTTATGTAAATAATGAAGTAAACACAAGGAATGACAGCGACAGAGAGAAAACAGTTGTTAAGGAAGCATCAGATTGGGGAAAAGTGGATTTAGCTGCGCAATTCGGCACTTCAATCACATAATGTTTATTTAATCTACTTGTTAAGCTTTCATTTCTCTATGCAGGAAATGACTGGGAATAACAAACGGCAGTGAATGATCAAACTACTTCATCTACAAACAAGTGTTTATGACTATACATAAAAATAAAATTTTTATAATAAGAAAATACAAGTTTGCAACATCAAGCAGCATAACAAGCTGTTCTTACAGCTAAAAAAATCAATGGAAGTGAATGAAACTGGAAGTTCTAAGCCAATAAAATTTTGATGGCTGTGCCTGCTCATACGTGAAAGAATAAGATCAATACAAAATATCATTCATTTATTTTTCTTTCACTTAGTCCCTTAATTATTAGGGGTCACCACAGCGGAATGAATCGCCAATTATTCCAGCATATGTTTTACACGGCGGATGCCCTTCCAGCCATAACCTAGTACTAGGAAACACTCATACACACTCATATTCATACACACGCTCAAACTCTACGGCCAATTCACCTATACCGTATGTCTTTGGACTGTGGGGCTAACCGGAGCACCCGGAGCGAGCACGGGGAGAACATACAAAGTCCACACAGAAATGCCAACTGGCCCAGCAGGGACTCTAAATCAGGAACATTCTTGCTGTGAGACGATAGTGCTAGCCACTGAGCCACCGTGCCACCTCAAAATATCATATTTTATTATTATATGGTATATGGATATCATATCGTATTATTATTTCTTTTAAAAGCTTCTCTAATATGATGCAGCTTTCTAGTGCAGGGATTCTCAACCGGTGGGTCGCGAGATGAATTAAAATTAACTTAAATATTATTCTATTGATTTCATAATTAAAAATGGCATAATAAAATGATAGTAGTAATGGCATTTCCTGATTTTTTGTGATTGAACAGGCTAATTCGGACCGCAAAAACAGCCTCACTGTTAATTAGAGACATAACTGTGGCTTAAATTTTTTAACCGCTGCGTGTCAACTGGGTCCACATTCTTGTATAAAGCAAACTGTCACGCAAATGTAACAATGATTATAATAGCCAGCTCGAGCATGCCTCATGTTTGCGACTCGTACTGAACCAGAGTCAAACAAGTCCGTTGATTTACAAACTATGCGTGCTCTCTTTGTGTGAACACTTTATAATATCCTCATTGTCCAAATTAACGTCTTGTAAGTGTTTTATAACTGCTGCTCGTTAGTACAGGAGGATCCAGCGAGACTTAAGACACTGTTCCTGTCAGCGAACTCCAATAATGTCCAGCTACAAACCCAACCGCCTTCAGATTGATATGCCTCAATAGATTTACATTTAGGGTTGTTTATTTTAGTAGATATAGATAAATAGATTAATAGGAGTCAGTCTAATTCAAAGCAGCAGCAGTTTTATTTTTTTGCCATCTCCTGTAGTCCTGTCAGGTTCCTTTACTGTAAAGGCCCAAAGACTCTGCAGTTGTAAAGATTAACTGAAGAATTCAGGAGTTTTGCACCTTTCTGCGTTAAAAAAACAACAAAAAACTTACTATATTTTATATAATATTAAAAAAGGTGTATATATAGCTTTAAAATAAGCATTTTCTCTAGACAATCAGTTTAGGCCTTCAAAAAAAATTTAAAGACAAAGGTGGGCCTCGAAGTGAAAAAGGTTGAGAACCCCTGTTCTAGTGTGTGATGACGTAAACTAAAAATAAATCTGAGAAGATTTCTAAGACCACAAAGGCGGAACCTCAAAGCCACACCTACTGATTATGTAATCACCATGGAATGGACCAATCCGCTTGTTTAGTCGTGACGTCCGGAATTCTGTTTCCGGGTCCAAGCAGTTACTCATTTTAATTAAGAAAGTATTCGTTTATGACCACCTTTTAGTCAATTCAACTTTAATGAATTTTATATAAAATCGTTGTATACACGACTGCATCACAGACACCAATATTTTAACAATTTATAAAAAATGTATCACTTTCTGGTCATCGAATATTAGGCATGGATATATATATATATATATATTTGATTGTGATTTTCAAAAGTATTACATCGCTTTGTAAACGTTTACCATTTGACGAGTCTCCCTGTGCAGTTTGATAGAGGGCTTGGACCCGGAAGCAGATTCACATGAAGTCACACTCAACAAGCAGACAGTAATTAGAAAGTAGTTTCGAACATAAGCAAACTTTTCCAGATGTTTGTTTTGGCAAGTGGTATTACGAACTTTGTTTTTGGCATGATATTATAAAATATGACGTCACATCAATTTATTCTTCGCTATAACTTTCAGTATATCGGGGTCTTTAGTTATATTTCAGTGTTAATTCGTTGACAACAATTAGCGTTAACAATTAGTGTCAATCCTGTGTTTAAAACACTTTAGTAAGCACGTCAGTTGGAAAGGCTGTATAATGAACGAACATATAAGTGTGCCATTAATAAATACATCTGGGTTGAGAGGGAATGCGCTGTGCATTGTGGGAGCGTACATTCCAGAGAGAAGCGTTGCATTCACTGAGGCTGAGATCCTATAATCGTGTCTCAGTTGTGTTAGACACTTTCATTTTCTTTGATGGTGCGTCTGTGTGTGTGTGTGTGTGTGTGTGTATTCCTGTAATTAAATGAGTGGGAGGTGTTTAGTATGCGGGTGTCATCAATTGGTTCAGTAGCGCCTAGGGGCGGAGTCTCTTCCCTCTTTCTTGATGATGATTCGCTGGTCATCACTGGTGTCATCGGGTGAATCCACGACTTCTTCCTCATCCTCACACTCTCCTTCCATGTCTGTTGTGATCCCCATACGGTTCTCATATGTCTACATGAGAAAATAAGACATGATTGAGTAAGATAACATGATTTTCTGAATAGAAAAAGGAAACAGTTTCCACAAAATTATACAACTTTATATTAATTATCAACTTTGGCAATAATAATAAAGGGTAAAGGTTTGAAATGCATTTTTGATTAAGATGCTTAGGAACATATCTGTGAAAGTGCCTTAATCTTTTCATTAATACAGTTTAATATTTTACACAGGGTATATTATACACCTGAACGATTGCATAAGATAGGTGATTCATATTCAGAATGTTGCTCAGAGATGCCCAAAGTAGGGCATTGTAATCTTTGATTTGGCTCAGAGACTGATGTGTGAGACTGATGGAGAGGGTGTGTCAAGTATATTAAACACAGATATCCTCATTTCCAATTCAATGTAAACTTTTTTTGTGTGTTTTATTGCTGTGCTACAGAAAAACCCCTGACATTAAATGTTTAATTTAATGCAGTAAATAAATCAGATTTAAGGGAAAATAGGAAATACTGTCACTTGACAGATAGAGGACTATGCAGAAGACATCGGCGAGCAAATCAAGCCAATATCCAGTGTAATTCTGTTAAATAAATAAATACATTTAAAAGTAAAACAAATAAATTAAATTGTTTTGTTTTACTGTAAAGTGTTTATTATAAAATGTAAAAAATACAGTATAAATAAATATAAAGCAATGTTTTCTAGGGCGAGGCAGTGGCGCAGTAGGTAGTGATGTCGCCTCACACGCCTCAACCTCGGCTCAGTTGGTGTTTCTGTGTGGAGTTTGCATGTTCTCCCTGCCTTCGCATGGGTTTCCTCCGGGTGCTCCGGTTTCCCCCACAGTCCAAAGACAAGCGGTACAGGTGAATTGGGTAGGCTAAATTGTCCGTAGTGTGTGTGTGAATGTGTGAGCATGTTTCCCAGAGATGGGTTGCGGCTGGAAGGGCATCCGCTGCGTAAAAACTTGCTGGATAAGTTGGCGGTTCATTCCGCTGTGGCGACCCCGGATTAATAAAGGGACTAAGCCGACAAGAAAATGAATGAATGTTTTCTAGTCATTTTTAAACATTATTATATAAATCAGAAATTTAGCAGTGAAAAATATATTTACCTTCGGCCCACAAGCCTCAATCAAGTTTGGCTTTTGGCCAAGATGTAAAAAGATGTAAAATCAAGGTTGGTACATTATTATATATGTTTTGGACATGTTCCGAACTTATTGGAGAAATATATTACAAACTATTAACAAAATTGCTAATGTTAATCTTTCACATGACCCAAGATTTATGTTACTGGGCGATGAATCAGTTCTTCAGCTCGATTAAAGGAAGAATCTACGTTTAATTAAAATGGCTCTGATAACAGCAAAGAAATGCATTGCTATACTATGGAAATCAGTAGAACTGCCGAGACATATTGTATGACTTAGAGCAGTGTTTCTCAACCACATTCCTGGAGGACCACCAGCTCTGCACATTTTCCATGTCGCCTTAACCAAACACACCAGATTCATATCATCAGCTTATTAGAAGAGACTGAAAGACCTGTATTAGGTGTAATAGATAAAGGAGACATCCAAAACATGCAGTGTTGGTGGTTCTCCAGGAACATGGTTGAGAAACACTAGCTTAGAGAACTTTCATCTTCTGTTCCTGTTGAAAAAGTAATGTTTATTTTATAAAAGAAAAACATCAATGTTTGAAATGATTTAGGGCGCAGTTTTTAAATACATGAATAACTTGGATGTTACATTGACTGAAAAAGCTGATGAAAAAATATGACACTTCACTGCTTTAATCTTTTATTTGTCATCTTTGTTTGTTTACTTGTTTATTTTACACATCAGCTCGATTTCTCACATATACGTCCATTTAAGTGTTTTGTCTTGTAAGGGTGGGAAGGGGAGAGGGGGTTGGGGGGTGTGGTGTTGGGGGGTTGAAAAACTATGTTTACAGTACAAGTATACTGAAATGATTCTGTGAATTGTTGATGTGAAAATAATAAATGTATAGTACTGAAAATTAAGATTTGAATAACAGTAACACATGATATATATTTATATATATATATATATATATATATATATATATATATATATATATATATATATATATATGTTATTCAAATCTTAATTTTCAGTACTATACATTTATTATTTTCACATCAACAATTCACAGAATCATTTCAGTTAAGTCAATTAACATTGACTGGATATATCTTCTACTGGAATCATACCTCCATTGGGTTCACAATGATGGTGAGGGCCGAATCATCCCATTGGTTACCGCCCTCCTTGCCTCCACCTCTTGCTCCTTCACCACGGCGGTGGATGGAGCGAATGCGAAAAACTCCAAGAATCACCATGACAACCAGGAAACCCACACACACCATGATGATGACAGTGGCAGCTCCTGGAACCACTATAGACGTGAGGATATAGAGAAAGTGTTTATTCTAACAGTTCATTATTTTACAAGGGTTATATCATGAAGTATTTCAAAATATATCTTTTGACATTTAGGGCAGATTTAATAACAGTTTGCACAAACCCTCTATTGGCATTAAGAAACTACTGCTATAATTTACAAAGATTTAGGACTTGATTTTAGCAATCTAGGTGCAAAGTCTAAAGCGCATGGCGCAGAAGCATTAAGGGCGTGTCTGATCCACTTTTGCTATTTTTAGGACAAAAAATATGGTTTGCGCGATGACGCATGGTCTAAGGCTGTGTTTACACCAGACGCGGTACGCGCAGATAAATAGCACTATTCGCGCGTAAATAGACGCGTGAACATTGAGTTTACTCGCATCATTCATGTGTCAAATCTGCCTTATTCTCGCATCTAATTCACTGAGCAATTGACTTGGATTTGGTTCAAAGGCAGGGCTTCTGTCTGCCCGATGACTGTTGCTTTATTGCTAAATAGATAATATAGTTTTTATTAAGAAAATAACTGTTTATGTGCTTTATGAAGGCTTAAAAACAGCGTTGATTTATTTGGAGCAGTGTCTGAATCCACTAGATCCTTTCAGAGATGCACCCAGATCTGTGAGTTCATAAACTCCACCAGAAACTTGACCTGGATGATGGAAGTTTCAGCTGTGCTTCCGACTGAGCCGAGCCCAGTTTGATCAACTGTTGCCCGGTGTTAGCTGGAGGATTTCACCCCGAGACATCGACAACAGGCGCTACATCATAAGCATGCCCCTACAAGAGCAGGCTTCTGATTGGTTAACGTGGCGTGAATGAATCGCGCCATTCGCGTCGCCTTATTTGCACGTATCGTGCCACAGGATGTCTATTCGCATCTTTGCATCGACTTAACATGTCCAAACTCGCACTTGACGCTTCTTCTGCATCTGGTGTGCATGCAGCATAACAGGGTTGTGCTTATTCTCCTAATGAGTTACAGGTCTGTTTTGAGCAGAACTTGCATTAAACCAATCAGAGTCTCATCTCTTATTCCCTTTGAGAGTTAGTTGCTTCGCGCCATGGCACATTTGGAGAGGAAAAACTAAACGCTTCACTTGTGAGAAAACCAACCCAAGCTCATTCTGGAAACGTAGCCCCGCGGACGTTTCTTGAGACCGCAATTTACGTGGCCGGAGGTACGTAAAGGCCGCGTTTGTTTTTTTTCGAGCGAACGCTGCGGGGCGGTGTGGCGCTGCTTCGCCCCTTCTCTTCGCGCTAGTCGGCCGACGGCTCGCCTCCGAGTGGAGGGCTTTCCCGATGCAATCAGTTTGTCCGCTTAGCTCACAGCGTTGCGTCGGCGGAGCGGAGGCCCCGGACGACGAGGAGGAGCCGGCCACGGTGGACGACGACCGGGATCGAGTCCGGGGAACAGCAGGTTCCGGAAATCAGGCAAGACGAAAAACGGAATCCGAAAAATAAGGGCGAGAACGCGGCGGGATCCGAAAACGCGGTCGAAATCGAAGACGAGGGCTTTTGCTTTTTTTTTTTTTTTTTTGGACGGCTTTTGCAAACCGTCGCTCGGGACGCGAAAAAGCGCGCACAGCGGCCTCACGCGGATCCGCGAAAAACAAAAACTGCTCGAATACGTACCTCTCGGGACGTAAATCGCTGTCCGCAGAAACGTCCGCGGGGCTACGTTTCCACAATGAGCCCGGGTTGGAGAAAACTGTTTAACAGACCTCCATTCGGCCTCTTTACTTTTTCTTTACTTTAATCTTACTCTTTACTCCTTTACTTTCGTAGATAAGGAAACGCACTCCACAGAAGACATGCATTAGCCTACATATTTAATCACATTTGTTTACGGGCAAAGATTTGTTTAAAATGGTTTCTAAATTCAGTTCTAATTTCCAGCAAACAAATAAATGAACAAAAATAAGTTATATCCATACACATGTTCTAGTCTTATGCCCCATATGGTGATGCATACATCTCCAAAACTCGATAGGTGGACAATTCTAAACAATTTTTTATTAAACCAAATATAAGTATGCATATAATAACTAATACTGCTAATGATAATAACATTATAATTAAAATGCAAATTGTAATGAATAACCTGAAAACAGCCCCCTGGACATGGAGAAGGCATGGAGGCAGTGTTTTTTATCTATGTAGTAAATAATGCTTTTTGTAACATTTTAATCTTTTTTTGTTTCTTATGTAAATATATTTGCATATTGCTGTATATGCTGTGTGTATTAAGTTTGAACCTGCATGACACATAACTAACATGCTCTGCACTGGACTTTAGACCAGACTTTACTTGGTCGATGGCATGGTGTATTTCAGCTTGCCAAAATAGCAACACACCAATAATGCGCCTTAACACACCTCTTATCTGAACTGGCTAACCCATGAGTCCAGTTCTGAAAATAGCAACAAATCGCGCAAAACACGTCTTGCGCCTTATTGCGTCACATGTAGAGCCCATGTAGTGTACCATCAGTGTGTAACAAGCATTTTTGCGCATGCAGTTTCACTTTTAGGGGTGGGAGACTTCATGATCCAATTCAGATTCATGGAGTCATGATCCAATTGCAAAATAATTCTTGAGCTACATTTTTACATAGTTCTTTGGCTGCGCAAATAAATCTAGCCAATTTTACATTTGAATCAGAACTGAAGTTTATATGTCTACTTTTGTTAATGATTGGAATATATTTAAAACAGTACTTAGATCTTTCATCTTAAAAAAACATGTATTTATTGAACAAAGGTTTCAGGATGAACAAGATCTGAATGTAACATCTGCAGCAGGAATTTGTACAGCATCCTGAAGCCAGTTGCACACAGTATACAACAAAGCCACATCTTTAAAAAAAAAAAATCTTTTTGTCCATCTTTCAGCAGAGTACATTGGAATGGTAAAAGAAGACATAGGCTGTGTCTGAAAGCTCTAAAATGCAAGGGTATGGGGGAAAAATCCAAGGAAGGTAGGCATTAAAGAATATCTGAATCCAAACTCTCTTTCATTTCCCGTCTCTAGATGTAACTTCTTCTGATCAAATTTCAAAGACAGCATAGTTGTGTCCTTTACTGCCATCAACATCTCACAATCCAGCGTGCCTCATTTCTTACAGTTGAGCAAAAAACTAAACATGGCATCTTGAAATGGGTGCCAATGTGTGTGTAAATGTCTATTTTTGACCAACATTTTCCACATTTAATGGCATTTGTAGTGGGAAGTTACTATTGTGGTAAGCAAATATTCCTTTAGTTATCAGCAAAACACTCTCCATTTTGTTGTGCGTGATTAAATCATTATGCTGTCTATGAAGTCTGTCTGAAATCCCTTTTCCGAGGTGTCTTCATGTGATAACATTGCCTCCAGAGTCACTGTCTGATTGGGCAGCTGGGCAAAGCCTAAGCTTTTAGACGCAGCCTTTATCAGAACTTAGCAATTACCAAGCCACATTCTTTTTAATTTGCCCTGCCCTTGGTCATTATGGAAATGTCTTCTTTAATTTGTGCACTGTCACTAATCAACCACAGAACCTTCCACTCCCATCTGTGCTTTTATAGAAATGCAGACTTAATTTAGTTTTCCCTCTATTGCACTAACACTATTAACAGTCAAATTTAAACTCAAATCTCTATATGCAGTAAGAATATGCGCATGTACTTACATTATAAAACTGACAATATGTAACCAAAAAACAAAAACAAAAAAAAAAACGCTGGCCACTTACACCTGTCCAACTGCTCTTTTTAAGTAAACATCTAATTAGACGATCACAAAAGCCACTTTTTAAACATTTGCACTAGACACATTTTTAAAATCCTTCCATAAAAAAAAAAAAAAACATTTATGTACATAAACAACAATGTATTTTTGAAGTGTGCTTCACACAGGTGAGTGGGCATGACAAACAACCTGTAGAAACACTCTTAATTTAACTTATATACAATGAAAATGCATAAACTTTCAAATATAGTGAGCTCAAAATCACAATTAATCCTTTGAAAAAAAATAGGTCGTTTTTAATGTAGTCTTGACTGTAAAATTCTAATATGTGCAACCTTTTAGTGCAAGGTCTTTTTTAATCAGAAAACAAGGCTTCATGTATAATTATTCACCATAAAGGGAATAAAGGACTACTTATTTTTCTTTTAAACACTTTTTTCATAGTACACACACACACACACACACACACACACACACACACACACACACACACACACACACACACACACACACACACACAACTGAACAATTTAAGTAAAATCTACCAAACCAGCAAGTTAAGTAATCTTAAATATGCAAGTTTTGGGAGACACCAATACTTAAATAAATTAAGGCAACGAGTTAACTTAATTAATTTCGTTCAGTCAGCTTATCAGAGTTTTCAATGTAGCACTAGAATTTTATTAATATTAATATATTCTATTAATATAATCAGCACTTCTTGTGTGTACTGCCTTTTCCTGTTGAATAGCTGAATTCCTCTTCAATTGTAAGTCGCTTTGGACAAAAGCATCTGCTGATGACTACTGTTAACGCATCTCTGTGCTTTTAGGCACGGAGTTGTGGTCAAGATGATCTGATTAAGCTCAAAATGAGCATCAGAATGGGAAAAAGTGATTTAAGTGACTAAATGTAGCATGGCAGTTGGGTAGTCTGAGTATGTCAGAAAGTGCTCATCTACAGAGATTTTCATGCACAATTACCTCTAGGGTTTAATATATTTATATGTAGAGAGAGTTATATGAGCAATATCACAAGAGTAGTGTCGTGTTACTCAAGATCAGCTTTGTCTGTCAACTCTGTTGTTGTCATTTTTATTCTCCTTCCTCTTAAATCTCCGCCCCCTATTAACGAGACCCATACCAAACACATCAACAAACACAATCACACCAAAAGTAGCAGTGCAATACGGCTGTATATTGGCACTGGTGGGAGGATAGGAGTGACGATATACAGCCATATCGCACTGCTACGGGTTCATTCACATCTGCAGCTGACAAAAAAACCACAGAAACCATTGCTGATTTACCAACGTCATTTTAGAGCTAGTTTTTGAATGATTCTTTAGCATGATGTGTAAAGTGATGACAAAACAGGTGATTTTACTGACATTTTAAGATTTTAAGGTTGAACAACATGAATTGTCATCAGTATACAGAGATTTCCCAGTATTTCTCTTTTGCAATCGGAGATCACAATAATTAACCCTGTAAAGCCAAAGCAACGCAATTACTACCAGTTGTGTTTGCGATAAGGAAAAGCTTTAAACACATGCTGGCATTTCTTCTTTCTTTCTGTTTACTCAACTAGTATGCAGTAAGGAAAACAGGACACGCATTAGAAACAAACAAATGGCTAACCAAAAAGTAACTCAGGGTTATACAAAGAGTGGCCAACACAAAATACATACATTCTTGATATGTGAGTCCCATCTCACACTCAATACAGTACAATTACTACGGTATAAATACAGAACTGCAACATACAAAGAACAAGATCGACTTAGAATGTCACTTCCCAATTTTAGAATGTTTGATCAGCTGTTGTTTGAAAATATGCCGATCTTTTCTCCTCTAAGGTCTTAATATGCGATCACTGTCACCATTTTGTGGATGGACAATGTCAACCGTCTTTGCGCTGCTCAATGACCGGCTGATGGAAATGTATATAAATATTTAAAATAGGCACTACCCTTATAAATAAATGCAAAGATGCTATTTAAACTACTACATTCTCTCCTGAAAAAGCCTCAAAAGTATGTTATGTTGTCCAACAGCTGCAATATTTGTCAAACTGTAGTGAGTTTATAGATCTGCTGTCACTTTATGTGGGCGGAGTGATACACAAGAGTGAATCGGTTGTATGAGTTCTGATATTGCAGAATATCGCACGGCTATTAGCCAATCAGATTCGAGAACCAGACAATGAGCAGCAGTTATGGTGGTGAATAAGTCTTTAAAAGTCTTTAAGTTAAATCGTAGCAACCATTGTTGTTTGGTGCATTGACTTCCATTTGTATAACCACAGTTTTACCATGGTTAAGCATAAAATTAGATGCAAAACCATAGTTAATTTCTGCTTTTTTTAAAAATGGTTGTGGTGTGATAGCTAAATATTTATGTTTGCATGTGTCAGCCGTGTACCTGAGTTGCGGTGTGGGTTGGGAAGCGTGTGTCCGCTCAGTTCTCCAGTGTGATGGGATGGATGGAGGAACTGCTGCTGAGATGCCAGCAGGTGAGACGGGTGGTAGAGACTGTCCAGAGAGTGCAGGAAGTTTACCTGAGCGAGCGCAAAAGAAAACAGCGTAGAGGGTGAAAGTCTCTCCATGTTAATTATGCATCAAATTAAGAGTGAGAGCTTCTTAAGGTGTGTTATCGTCAGGAAACGTGAACTGGGTTAGTGTGCTGTAGGTGTGATGAGTTCAGTAATGTTTATTACCTCCAATGTGAGCTCATTACTGGTGTAGCGACCATTCATTTCTGAGCACGACAGACGAAACCTTCGTTCAAAACGAGCTGAGCCCTTTGCTAAGCGATAGTGAATAGAGCGTAGCACATCCTCATACACAGAGATAGACTCCGCACCTGAAAGAGAGAAAAGTAAGGGCTTACATGTTGCTGTTTTCTTTCTAAAATAATGTAATGCTTTATTACACACACACGATTGTTCAAACGTTTGGGTTAAGTTTCTTTTTTAGTATAAAATCATTGTTTTTATTTGGCAAAGATGCCCTGAAGTGATTAAAAGTGTCAGTAATGCAATAAAACAGTAATAATGGTTCTTCAGTAATCCTGACTTTAAACCAAAACCAAACTTTTTCTCAGGTTTAAGAGCTGGACAGACAACAATCATTAGTTCTTGTCAATAAAGCAATGGCCATCCCATTTTATATATATTGTTAGATGGAATCGATCCATAGCATGACTTAACAGACTAAAGATTCCAACCATTCTTCATTGGAAACAAACACATGATAGTTTGATCTTCATTATTAAATAGAATGAAGGATAAACGCTGTCATCTAAGATGTAGGTAACAACAGATTATTTTGACCTGTTTTACATTAATTTAGCATGACACGCTCTTTATTTATATATTTTTCTGATATTATGTATATAGTTCTTCCCTTTTATACTTATACAGTATACTTAAAAATGCGTATTAATACACAAAATAATCAATTCTTTTCTTTTGGTTTGTCTGTTCATCAAAGAGTCCTGGAAAAAAAAGTTACTAAGAAAGCTAAACTATTAGATGATAATAATAATAATAATAATAATAATAATAATAATAATAATAATTGCTTCTTTATCCAAGTGGTGCTCGCTGCAGAGCCATTTGAGGAGAGCTGAGCTCCAGCGAGGGGGAGCTTAAGCTTGAGCTCCACCTTTTTTGCACTTCTTCTACGAGTGATGTCACTGGGGGTAGGGTTAGGGGTGGGGTTTGTGTACGGATTAAAACAGCTTACAGGAGTAGGAGCGACAGCTCATGCTCCCCCTCGCTGAAGCTCAGCTCTCCTCAAATGGCTCTGCAGCGAGCACCCTCTCTCTTTATCAGCAAATCAACACATTAAAATGACATCTAAAGGATCATGTGATAGTGAAGACTGGAGAAATGCTTTTTCCTTACAGGAATCAATAGCTTTTTTATTGTACCAAAGCTGAAACTTTTTTACTGTAAAGATATTTTACAACAATACAGTTTATGCTGTAATTTTGATCAAATAAATGCCTTCGCCTTGGCCCTTGAAACAGAGTGTGAAGGGGAAGGGCTTCAAAATTAACCCCTAAGAAATAGGACAGCACTACAAAACCTGTACACGTCATCATATGTCAACGCGATCTCTTGCTTCATATGAGATCGACGATCGCGACTGATGTAGTAATTCCAGCTGCGTTATTTTTTGGTATTTATCTCCAGGATATCACTGAATAGTATCAGGTTATTATAATCCTATAATGTGGCAATATGATTGTAGCTGTACTGTGTATTTACACCATGGCCATATTCATCTACGTAAACACACAAAAATACATTAACATTATAGCAGACACTGTAAAAAGGTCATTCCCAGCCACTAGACTTTTCTAACAGGGGATTCCAGTGTCATCGGGTGAAAATATGTTATACTGCTATGCAAGAGTTATTATTAGGGATTATAGAGAGTGAAATGTATTGTTTTTTATTTTAGAGTTTTAATACAGTCATAACGCCGTTATGAACGTATTAAAACATGTGTTTGTTTGTTGTTTTTGACAAAAAATATTAGTTTGTGCATCTCCTGCCGTTGAAGATGGTATATTCAGGAAAATTGTCGTGCTCCTTGGTTTCAAATGTAGTCCTGAAAAATCTCCATTTGAAGGGGTATCTAGCCCTTACCCCTAGCCCTACGCCTTCAAGCTAAAGAGAATTGATACACTCCTAACCCAGAGAATTGGGAACTGGGCCTTTAAAACAATCTGACCTAAAACCTTTGAATGGTAGTGTCTATGATTAACATTAACAGATACAAAAGTACAAAAGTTTTACATCAAATATGAAACCAAATTGGCATAGGTTTAAAAACATTAAACATTATCCACTTCATAAATAAGTGGTTCAAAATTGAATATATAATCAAAAAAAATTTTAAAAATTATACACAAACACAACAGGTTCTTTTGTTTTCATTGAAATTGTCCATTGTAAGTGTCCAAATATTTTATTGTATACATACAAAGTAGTATAATTATAAATGATTACCAGTGCTGGCAAACTTAGTAATAATTAGTCAAAATTACCAGTAATGGCAATGTAGGCCGTTGTGTTGATGATGTCGAGCCCCCTCTCTCTCAAAGACTCCATGTCAACCAGAAGCTCCTCCCTCTCAGTGTTTAGCTCCTCCCCCAAGGGCTGGACTTCACACCCATCCAGAGTGTGAGCGACGGCGTCTGACATCAGCGCTGATAAAGGACAGAAACAGACTCAATAACTCTCTACCCTTTGGCCATAACACAGAAGTGAGAGAGGAGCAAAGTTCTTCTGCATTGCACAAGCCCAAAGTTACAGATAACAGAGTGAGTACAGGTTAAACTTTGGGTGAATAAGTAATTGAATTTGCTTATTTTGCTCTTGTTCTCTATTGACAGACTACACTAGCATACTAATGACGATGCCTTGACCTTGACGTCTTTAATGGGAAGTCTATCAAGCATGCAGTGCCTCTGGAAAGAAGCAAAACAAGCTCTTATACTGCTGATCTTTAGTTATTAGGCATTCATAAAGTCAAGCCTCTTGGCCATAACAGGGTCTGAAGTGAAGATCGTTTTCCCAGAATAAATGAACAGAATCTATTTAACTGCAAAAGCCCTTATAGGGGTGATCCGTCATGCAGTGGGTTCAAGGATTACTGGTTTAGGTGAAATGTTGAATTCTTACCCCCTCCCTCCATGCCCTGAGCAGCTGTGTTCACAGCGTGAGACAAGGAGCAGACGATTCGGAGCTCAGGGAACAAGGGAACCCCTTGAGGACCCTCAAACTCAGCAGCTGGACGGGCCAGATGGGGTCCCACCCCGGAGAGGGAGATCTGAGGTGCGTCAGGCTGGAGAACGACCAGGTAACCCTCCAGCTGTCTGAGAGAGAGACAACTCTCCTCACTGAAACACCTGCGGCACAAGAGAAGTTCAACAATATACAACATGTGTACATTTACTGCATGCTACTGTTTTTTAGGTTGCTATGTATTAAGAAATTCTAGATAACATAGCAAGACCCCTTGTTGACATATTTGAGATATGTGGTTTATTTGAACAGCAAAGTTAAAACATATATTATACACTGCAAATTTTAGATAGTAGATTTAACTACCTTGGAGTTAAAATTAACACTCCCTTAGAGTTTATATGGGAACCACTATAAGTGTTAAAAAATAACACTTTTGAAAGTGTTAACATTGTCAACACCAAGAGAGTGTTAATTTGCAAACTCTTATTGTGTAAAATATTTGTTAAATTTCCGAAAAAATACCAGCAGCCGTGGTTGCCAGAATCTTTCTGTGAAAAACATGGAAGTTTTATATAACTGTATAAATTTACAAAAATTAATCATATTTCATGAACTAACACATTGTTTATTTTACGAAATCATAGCTTAGTGCACAAAAAGTAAAGTCTTTAGATGTAATAATGTTTTCATGTGTGATTGCTAGTAGCAAACAGATTTTGACTGAATTAGTAACTACACAGTTACCTTTAAACAAAAGAAGATGCAGCATAACATCAAATATTCTCAGTTCATCTTGGACTTGAACAGAGACGCTATTATCCTCCACAATGGTGACACAAAAACCGTTTTGCTGTTTTTCATTTTTTTTTTTTCATTTTTAGATTTTACGGAAAAATACCAGCAGCTGTGGTCGCCAGTAATCTGCTGTTTTTAACATTCATAACTTCAGTTTACAGAATATTTCTGTTAAAAGCACATTCAACAGTCTGTATTTTTTATCGATCTCACACTGCAAATTTTTGATTTGGTAGATTTAACTACCTTAGAGTTAAAATTAACACTCCCTCAGTGTTTATATGGGAACCACTATAAGTGTTAAAATAACATTTTTGAAAGTGTTAAATTTTTTAACACCCAGAGTGTTAATTAGCAAACTCTTATTGTGTAAAATATCTGTTAAATGTATGTCAAAATACTGGCAGCACTGGTTGCCAGAAATCTGCTGTTTTCAACATTTTAGATTCGTAAATTCAGTTTCCAGAATATTTCTGTTAAAAACAAATCCCATAGTCTGTATTTTTCATTCGAACCCACGTAAGCCTTAAATTCCAGAGCAAAATCCTCACTAGTGTCCTCACTACAGAGGGCTGAACACACAGACAGTGATGAAGTTAATGAGACAATTAAGTGTCTAATTAAAGGAGAATTGAGAATTGTTGATGAACAACTGTTAACAAGCAGAATTACTGAAGGAAAGAAAAACACAAGCCAAAACCAAAGATGAAATCAACTGAGAAAAAAAAAACTCTAAATAAAATAATAATCAATAAAAATAAAACAAATTACACAATAAAAAATGTTATTTTTCAACATCTTTAAAACAACTCATCACATTAAACAACTTATCATGGAGCTTCACCTATTACTGACCTTTGACTTTATTACTGTCATGTGAACAAAAGCTCTTAATAAAATTCCCGTTGTTCATTTGAAGTCACCATGATGGAGGACAGAGTCTGCTTTAGTCAGGCTCTTCAACTTCTTGCTATAAATGTCTTTTATTTTGGCTGCTATAGATAGTGTTAATTACACTATTTATACATATAGCATGGAAAGCTAAAAAAAATTAAAGTGTCAGTCTGAAGAGATTATTAATGATAACATAGCCATCCTCTCCTGCTTGTTATCTAAATCAATATCATATTAGTTATGTGTAAAAAATAAATAATATACATAAATGAAACCACTGAAGCTCCAATAAAATAAACACAATATTTACAATGAGAATGTTTGATCTATGGCAGAACTCAAAAACACACAGACATCAATAATTAGTCTTTGAATCTCAATGATGGTGACAAACAAAAAAATTAAAATAAAGTAAAAAAAAAACACTACTGAAATATCACCTCCCAAAAACAACACTAAATATAGGAAAAGAAAGAGATTGTAAGAACATAAAGCTGCATAATTTATTCATGCTGCAATGCATGCTGGGAGCTTTGTACTATGCTGGCACCCAGCATGCATTGCGGCATGAACCATGCAGCTTTTTTTTTTTTTTTTTTTAGCAACCACGGTTGAGGTTCATATCCTGATTCTTGATGCCTGTGTGTCATATGAGCAAGCTGGTGCTTGAATGTTTAGTGCATGACACTCTAATTAATAATTGCATCCTAATTGTTTGTTGAATTTTCTATGAAGAGCAGCAGACTACCAGTAGTATTGTCCCATGCAGCTTTAATACAACTATATTTGCATGTCTTTATGAATCAACTTAATAAACACCTGAAATTGAATCTATAACAATTAAGCATAAACAGTATAGTTTCTCTTGACCTTTCTTGCTATTACCGATGAGTTTTAGAAACACAGCTATAGCAGTCAAAGAAATATTAGGATATAAGAGTAAAGCTTCAAGAGCTCAAATAAGCAGCCTCTGATCTCTATGATGGTTAGGTCAAATGAAATATTTTTAATAAAAAAAAAATTCTTACAGAAATGAAGTCAAACTGTAATCAGTGAAGCTGCTTATGCTATTATTTAATGGAGTTGTTTAATCCTCTGTTTTAATTCAGTTGGTTTGGTGTGAGGCTGTGTCTGTAGTTTTATTTCTTCCTTCAATTTCTTATTCCTTCAGTGATTGTGCTTGTTAACAGCAGGTGTTCAACAGCAGCTGTCTGAATTTACTTATTTGTGGTCATTCACTCTAATAAACTAATTGACTAATTTAAGGGCCAGGTGAATGATCGTGTGGCGAGATTTCAGACACTGATTAGTTTCTCAAATATAAGGGTTTTCTACAAAGGTAGATACATGTTACTCTGTATGACAAGGAGGCAAATCAGCTTCTAACGCCGAGAGAGGGTTATTTTACCTTAATCTAACTCTAGAATTTTAACACTTTACTCTGAATTACCACAACACTTGAAATTTAACACCAATGAATTTGCTGTGTAGTTGTTGTAAAAATGTACATTTCTCAAAGCTCTTCTGGAAGCCTCTGGGCTGACTGATGTCAAAGACTATAGAATACACAAGACATGTCACTTGTATCTTTTTGAATGGGGAAAAGTGTAATGATTAATATGCTGAATAAAGTCCGCCTACTTGTACAGGAGCCAATCATCGATTGCCATATGGTGAATAAAGCTTGCCTACTAGTACAGGAGCCAATCATCGATCGCTATATGGCGAATAAAGCCCGCCTTCTAGTACAGAAGCCAATCATCGAACGCTATATGGCAAATAAAGCCTGCCTACTTGTACAGGAGACAATCATCGATCGCTATATGGCGAATAAAGCCCACCTTCTAGTACAGGAGCCAATCATCGAACGCTATATGGCGAATAAAGCCCCCCTTCTAGTACAGGAGCCAATCATTGATTGCCATATGGGGAATAAAGCCCGCCTTCTAGTACAGGAGCCAATCATCGAACGCTACATGGCGAATAAAGCCCGCCTTCTAGTACAGGAGACAAACATCGGTTGCCATATGGCGAATAAAGCCCGCCTTCTAGTACAGGAACCAATTATTGATCGCTATATGGCGAATAAAACCCGCCTTCTAGTACAGGAACCAATCATTGATCGCTATATGGCGAATAAAGCCCACCTTCTAGTACAGGAGCCAATCATCGAACGCTATATGGCGAATAAAGCCCGCCTTCTAGTACAGGAGCCAAACATCGATTGCCATATGGCGAATAAAGCCCGCCTTCTAGTACAGGAATCAATCATCGATCGCTATATGGCGAATAAAGCCCGCCTTCTAGTACAGGAGCCAATCATCGATCGCTATATGGCGAATAAAGCCCGCCTTCTAGTACAGGAGCCAATCATCGATCGCTATATGGCGAATAAAGCCCGCCTTCTAGTACAGGAGCCAATCATTGATCGCTATATGGCGAATAAAGCCCGCCTTCTAGTACAGGAGCCAATCATCGATCGCTATATGGCGAATAAAGCCCGCCTTCTAGTACAGGAGACAATCATCGATTGCCATATGGCGAATAAAGCCCGCCTTCTAGTACAGGAATCAATCATTGATCGCTATATGGCGAATAAAGCCCGCCTTCTAGTACAGGAGCCAATCATCGAACGCTATATGGCGAATAAAGCCCGCCTTCTAGTACAGGAGACAAACATCGGTTGCCATATGGCGAATAAAGCCCGCCTTCTAGTACAGGAACCAATCATTGATCGCTATATGGCGAATAAAGCCCGCCTTCTAGTACAGGAGCCAATCATCGAACGCTATATGGTGAATAAAGCCCGCCTTCTAGTACAGGAGACAAACATCGGTTGCCATATGGCGAATAAAGCCCGCCTTCTAGTACAGGAACCAATTATTGATCGCTATATGGCGAATAAAACCCGCCTTCTAGTACAGGAACCAATCATTGATCGCTATATGGCGAATAAAGCCCACCTTCTAGTACAGGAGCCAATCATCGAACGCTATATGGCGAATAAAGCCCGCCTTCTAGTACAGGAGCCAATCATCGAACGCTATATGGCAAATAAAGCCTGCCTACTTGTACAGGAGACAATCATCGATCGCTATATGGCGAATAAAGCCCACCTTCTAGTACAGGAGCCAATCATCGAACGCTATATGGCGAATAAAGCCCCCCTTCTAGTACAGGAGCCAATCATTGATTGCCATATGGGGAATAAAGCCCGCCTTCTAGTACAGGAGCCAATCATCGAACGCTACATGGCGAATAAAGCCCGCCTTCTAGTACAGGAGACAAACATCGGTTGCCATATGGCGAATAAAGCCCGCCTTCTAGTACAGGAACCAATTATTGATCGCTATATGGCGAATAAAACCCGCCTTCTAGTACAGGAACCAATCATTGATCGCTATATGGCGAATAAAGCCCGCCTTCTAGTACAGGAGCCAATCATCGATCGCTATATGGCGAATAAAGCCCGCCTTCTAGTACAGGAGCCAATCATCGATCGCTATATGGCGAATAAAGCCCGCCTTCTAGTACAGGAGCCAATCATCGATCGCTATATGGCGAATAAAGCCCGCCTTCTAGTACAGGAGCCAATCATCGATCGCTATATGGCGAATAAAGCCCGCCTTCTAGTACAGGAGCCAATCATCGATCGCTATATGGCGAATAAAGCCCGCCTTCTAGTACAGGAGCCAATCATCGATCGCTATATGGCGAATAAAGCCCGCCTTCTAGTACAGGAGCCAATCATCGATCGCTATATGGCGAATAAAGCCCGCCTTCTAGTACAGGAGCCAATCATCGATCGCTATATGGCGAATAAAGCCCGCCTTCTAGTACAGGAGCCAATCATCGATCGCTATATGGCGAATAAAGCCCGCCTTCTAGTACAGGAACCAATCATTGATCGCTATATGGCGAATAAAGCCCGCCTTCTAGTACAGGAGCCAATCATCGAACGCTATATGGCGAATAAAGCCCGCCTTCTAGTACAGGAGACAAACATCGGTTGCCATATGGCGAATAAAGCCCGCCTTCTAGTACAGGAACCAATTATTGATCGCTATATGGCGAATAAAGCCCGCCTTCTAGTACAGGAGCCAATCATCGAACGCTACATGGCGAATAAAGCCCACCTTCTAGTACAGGAGACAAACATCGGTTGCCATACGGCGAATAAAGCCCGCCTTCTAGTACAGGAACCAATTATTGATCGCTATATGGCGAATAAAACCCGCCTTCTAGTACAGGAACCAATCATTGATCGCTATATGGCGAATAAAGCCCACCTTCTAGTACAGGAGCCAATCATCGAACGCTATATGGCGAATAAAGCCCGCCTTCTAGTACAGGAGCCAATCATTGATTGCCATATGGCGAATAAAGCCCGCCTTCTAGTACAGGAGCCAATCATCGAACGCTACATGGCAAATAAAGCCCGCCTTCTAGTACAGGAGCCAATCATCGAACGCTATATGGCGAATAAAGCCCGCCTTCTAGTACAGGAGACAAACATCGATTGCCATATGGCGAATAAAGCCCGCCTTCTAGTACAGGAACCAATCATTGATCGCTATATGGCGAATAAAGCCCGCCTTCTAGTACAGGAACCAATCATTGATCGCTATATGGCAAATAAAGTCCGCCTTCTAGTACAGGAGCCAATCATCGAACGCTACATGGCGAATAAAGCCCACCTTCTAGTACAGGAGACAAACATCGGTTGCCATATGGCGAATAAAGCCCGCCTTCTAGTACAGGAACCAATTATTGATCGCTATATGGCGAATAAAACCCGCCTTCTAGTACAGGAACCAATCATTGATCGCTATATGGCGAATAAAGCCCACCTTCTAGTACAGGAGCCAATCTTCGAACGCTATATGGCGAATAAAGCCCGCCTTCTAGTACAGGAGCCAATCATTGCTTGCCATATGCCAAATAAAGCCCGCCTTCTAGTACAGGAGCCAATCATCGAACGCTACATGGCAAATAAAGCCCGCCTTCTAGTACAGGAGCCAATCATCGAACGCTACATGGCGAATAAAGCCCGCCTTCTAGTACAGGAGACAAACATCGATTGCCATATGGCGAATAAAGCCCGCCTTCTAGTACAGGAACCAATCATTGATCGCTATATGGCAAATAAAGCCCGCCTTCTAGTACAGGAACCAATCATTGATCGCTATATGGCAAATAAAGTCCGCCTTCTAGTACAGAAAGTAATCATTGATCACTATATGGTGAATAAAGCCCGCCTTCTAGTACAGCAGGCAATCATCAACCGCTATAGACTGACAATACTCTGGGGGCAGGGCTCCTACCATTTTGCAGTTTCTGCAGATTTTGTGTGATTTGGATGTTTAGAAATGAAACTAAAGAGACAGCTGTTGTTTAATTTTATTGGTGATTCCTAAAATGAAATTCAATAGTAAGCTTGACGAGCAGTTTTAGAAAATTTGATGTTTCCCCATTTAGACAGAATGCCTGAGCATACTGCCCGAAAGGTGTTTCAAAGGTGGCCGCAGAGTGAAATGACTTGCCTTAAAGGGACTTTGTTGAAATTCAACACAGTAAAGGATCTATAGAGATACTTGTGATTCATAAAAACAATATCGGTGCACTTCTAGTTTCACAGTTATCAAGAGCCTTTTAGCCAGACTACACCTCCCACCAGGCATTGCGCTAATCAATCCACCACAGCTGTGACCCATACAGACTCTGATTACACTAACAAAGCTGTAGGACATTACAAACACACACACACACACACACGCACGCGCGCACGCACGCACGCGCACGCACGCTTACGCACACGCACACGCACATGCACACGCACACACACACACACACACACCCACACAAAATGTAAGCTCCATTTTCACACATATTCAGTGCTCAGTATTGCTTCCCTGGTGTTATCATTTCTTAGGGTGTGACTGCATGTTTTGCCTGCTCTGTTTTTGCGACCCTAGACCCTAGTTTTCATAAGCTGTCTGTATTTGCATACTACTTATGTAGGTGCCATATTTGAAATTTAATTTATTAGATGGCCGTTAGAAAAGTATATGCTATAAAGTATGAATGTGAATATTATAAATGGAACTAAAACCTACTCATCAACTATTTGTCAACATTACATGACCTAAACACATCAAGTGAATGGGTCAGTGTAACATCTGTTAGATGAGCACTACAGAAGCTTGCTGGAAGAAGCAGGTCATCGCCTATTGTTTTTTCAATTACTCTGAATTCGGACATGCTACTCAGCTCACAAACTATTTTTTACATACTAAATAGTAGGGAAGTATGTAATTTTGAATGCAGCCATGGTTTATGATTGTTTGCTGCCAGGCCCCACCTCTTTACTTGTCTCATGGATTACTATTGTGAATCAGCCCTTCTTTTACTGTTCGCTCCTGTTAAACCCTTGCCTGTTATGACCATTCCTTTAAATAAAAGCTGCATGTGGACCCTCACCTCCACCATCACATCCAATTTACAACAGAGTCAGAGTGAATGCAGCACAAATAAAGTGTGAATAAACAGTCATGTACAAGGATGAATTGTCATGTCAGAATTTTCCAAACAAGACATGATACGATTTTAAAGTAATAGCCTTTCTGTAATACACTCCCTAAAGTACACTATCCAGGCCTCAACTGATAAATTATACAAGAACCCTATTATACATTTTTTTTAAATCATTGACCTCATTACATTCTGATGAAATTTGAAGAGTGTATGCAAGTCTGCATTTATTTAGTACAGTGTGACTTTATGTACATGCAGGTATGTATACTTTCAGTATGTAATTGGCACTTTATTTTACAGTCCTCTTGAGCACAAACATATTATGTAATCAGTAATAAATTATTATTGTAGTGTGTAGATGTTTGTGTACCTGAGAGAGGTGGTGAGTTTGAGTGGTCGGACACCAGGAGTGGCGAATCGTAGAGAGTTTCTGTATGTCACCTGCTGAACGGCACGGTTGAAGCTTTCAATGTCGTCTCCCTCTAACACCAGCACTGACTGACTCGGGTTCACATGCACCTGAAAACAGGACACTGGGGTTATATGTATTACCATACTATAAGTAAGGTGACCTAAAACAAATGCTTTTTAATGTACCTTCATGCCTGAGCCCAAAGTCTCAAGGTCTCCGAAATCCAGCCCCTCTCGACAGGCATACAGACACTCCACAACACTGTGTGGCTCCACATTTCCCGGACGCACCGTCACGCCTGACAAAAGCCCTTTATAACCACTGACGAACTTTCCTATAAGCCAAAATGAGATGTATATTAGTGATTTTATAATAGTGTGTCCATTTTGCATCTCCTAGAGCAGGGATGTGAAACTCAATTCCCGGAGGGCCACAGCCCTGCACAGTTTAGTTCCAACCCTGATCCAACACACTTACCTGTAGGTTTCAAACAAGCCTGAAGGACTCAATTAGTTTGATCAGGTGTGTTTAATTAGGGGTGGAACTAAACTGTGCAGAGCTGCGGCCCTCCAGAAATTGAGTTTGCAATCAATGTCCTAGAGAAACCTTTTATTTTACACACACACACACACATATATATATATATATATATATATAAATTTAAAACTTGAATATCAAAAATTATATAAAGTTTTCTCTAAAAATAATATTTGTAAGTGTATTTTGTGTCATTTTGTCAGGAAAATATGAATCCCCACTATACCTGATACCTGATATGTTTGAATATCTCAGGTTCCTGAATCATACATTCTGCTTCAATTATCATGAAGTAATGGGCTATATGCACAGCTAGTGTTTTCAGCCAATGGTGAACTTCCGGTAAGAGTTTTATGTGACTATTTTCATTTCATATGGTTCCTTTTACAGCATTAATGTTGCAATGTAATTAAAATATAATCAGTTGAATAGACTTAAGCATCCATTTGGTTGTTAAAGCGTAAAAGGACGTGAAAGACCGTTTAAGCACAGGCACCGTCATTAGAGCAGAAACTTAATTGAAAATACTGGGGTAAAATTAATTTCCATATTTTAAAGACATGGCGTGGAAAAATATAACTTAATGCAGTGCTTCTTGTTTGGTCTGATACCCATTTTATATCGTATCCCAGCCAGGCAGAGAAGACCTCTGTTTTTTAAAGAAATTAGATGGTAAACGTGGCGATTTTGTTTGGGATGACAATTAACTGGAAGCCCTGGGGCTGGCTGACTGAAATTAAAAGTCCATGTACACATACAATGAGTCTAACTTTCAACTTTTTTGCAAATATTTTGTAATCTAATTTGTTAAATTAACATTTGCACAAAACATCTTTTTTTGTTTTTAATAGTGCATTAATTATCAACTTCCTTAGTGTTATCATTTACTTAAAAAAAAACAATAATATGATGTAAATACATAAATTGTGTTTGAGACATGCCATATGGAGCTAAAGTCAAAAATTGAAAAAAAAAAAAATTAAAAATGGGAAAACTTTTTTGTTGGAAAAACATCAGCTCTGTTGTATAAGTTATATAAAATAAGTAAAAAATTAACTAGTAACAGAAATGTGTGTGTGTGTATGGGTGAATGTGTGAGTGAATCAATACAGGCTTTTAAAGAGCATTACACGTCGTCATTTAACTTAATATCTTTATTGATCTTGCGCACGCACGAATGCACACACATACACACTGTCCTGGTGTAAATCTTACCTGTGTCTTTATTCTCTGGCATGGTGTTGTTCACAATGTCTTTCGGTTTCTCCTCTGGCTCTAGAGGGGAAAAGCAAAGCAAATAAAAGGCTGAATCGATTTATTTGAAAGAAAAAGTTCATCTAACATTTTAAAGTATGATCAATTCTTTACTTATCGACATGCCATTTAAACCATTTTTAAAAAGTCAATTGTCTCTTCAAGGTTGCTGTTGTTTGTTTTAGATACATGTATGTATTCATTATCACATTTGTCACTGTTTAATGGACCTTTGCTAAAAATAAATTTTCACAGTATGTCTGATAATATTTTTTCTTCTGGAAAAAGTCTTAGTTTTATTTTGACTAGAATAAAAGCAGTTTTAATTTTTTTATGAACCATATTAAGATTAAAATTATTAGCTCCTCTAAGCAATTTTTTTCGATAGTCTACAGAACAAGCCATTTTTATACAATAACTTGCCTAATTACCCTAACCTGCCTAATTAAACTAATTAACTTAGTTAAGCCTGTAAATGTCACTTTAAGATACTGTAAAATGTTATTTATTGTCATCATGGCAAAGATAAAATAAATCAGTTATTAGAAATGAGTTATTAAAACTATTATGCTTAAAAAATGTGTTATATTAACCTTTTCTATATTTTAAACAGAAATTGGGGAAAAAAATAAACAGGGGGGCTAATAATTCAGAGGGGTTAATAATTCTGACTTCAGCTGTATGTATATATGTATATATATATATATATATATATATATATATATATATATATATATATATATATATATATATATGTATATATATGTATGTATATATATCTATATCTATCTATATATATATATATATATGTATGTATATATATATATATTAGGGGTGTAACGATATTAAAACCGAATCGAAATATCGCGATACACCAACCACGATACGTATCGCGAAACTCTCGTGGCGTACCGTGGTACTCTCACGCCCCCTGCTGCCCATTGTTGAGGTTGACGTCACTTGTCTCTAACTAATTGAACCAATTTAAACACATCTTTATTATCATATTTGATTAAATTGTTTTAATAATGATGAGGATTTGTTCTAAATATTATATTCTAAAGTTAGTATTTTAGTGCATGTCATGTCATGTGACTTGAGTGAGCATCACACTTGTTACTACTGGACGCAGGATGGCTGCTTCACATAGTACTGAGATTGCAGATCCCCCAGACACATTTAAGTCATCTGTGTGGAAACATTTTGGTTTTCCAGTTGAGTACAGGAATAGAATTTGTGTCGTAGACAAAGCCTTACTTGTAAGGAAAAACATTTAAAAAGTGTGGTAATTTCACAATGTGAGGGTGTAAGCAACAGAACTGCCAACAAAAGTGATTTAATGTACAAAAGTAAAACCAGAATAATGTCCAAATATACAAAAAAAGAGAAATATTTACACTAATAAAAATAATGTAATAAAGTAACAAATTCAAACAAAAGTATCAAACAAAAATTAGTTAAACTCGAGCAAGGGGGTGATAGTGAAGACAAACAAAAGAAATAAATATAATAAAACAATTCTAACTCATGAATAACCCCTCCTACCTCGCTAAAACTGATGAAAAGAAAAAAAAGGTCTTCAGCGCCGTGCGCCACATTCTTCCATATACTGAATAAAATAAACAAAGATGACCTTCACCTCTTACCTGATGTCTTTAACAATACATTTTCTACGTGTTTGCAAAATAGAAATCGTATGACATTTTCCCTATCCACCTTACACTAAGACTGAACTTGAGGAGATACAGCTATATTGTCGGAGCTAAAAAATAATATACAAATCAATTGAAATAAAAATGTACAAACCTCACAAAATTTCTTAAAGTGGGCAAAAGTAATGCAAAATAATTTTACCCAAACGAAAGTTAAGCAAAAACAACGAAAATCATAATCATGTCAGAAAAATACACGAAAAACGAGATCAAAGGAAAAAGCGCTCTCTCTCTCCCGCTCTTCCTGAATTGCTTTTTACATTCCCGCGCTGTGTCGCCAAATGATGATAGATCGGTCTCCTGACCAATCAGCTGTCAAAAAGGCGGGCCTACAGAAATGACAGGCATCAGCTGTCATGAAGGCGGACCTACATAAATGACCGGCATAGAGGGAGCGGGAGAGAGAGAGAGAGAGATCGGGAGGCAAACATACAGCCGGCTACAACCCTAACATTAGTTTCAGACACAACCGCAATGTATTTTACTGGTGAATATGTCATGAAAAAACACTTTACAAACACATTATATGTATATTTTTCATTAATTTAAACGGAAACCTATCTATCTAAATGAAACCATATAATCAAAAATGAGCGTCTGTGTCTGCACAGAGATCAAGCCTCTCATCGGAGAATGTGGATATTATGGTGTTTTTAAAGAAGATCTTTCACTAGTCTACACTGCAGTTATTTATTTAATTTTAGTTTACTTAGTTAAGATGGCTGCACTAAAGAAAATAGTTTTTTTTCTGACTAGTCTATATTGGAGGTATTTATTTAATTCTAGTTGTTTACTCGGGTATCCTGACTGTACTAAAAATGCGATGACAAAGTTAATAAAGAAAAAGTTAAGATGTTCTTGTTATTAAGTGAATTGTCCCTTAGCATTGCTGTTAACATGACATCAACCCTAACCCCACAGCAAACAGAAACCGAACCGTACCGAACCGAACCGTGGCTCCAAAACCGTGAACCGAACCAAAACGAACCGTGCCTTTTGTGTATCGTTACACCCCTAATATATATATGTATATATATATATATATATATATATATATATATAGGGCTGTATTAACAATGCAGTAAAAACAGAAGCTCAGTATTTTATAATAGAACGCTAATAAAAGAAATAACAACAATAACAAAAATAATATCAACGACAATAATAATACTACAAATAGGAAGAATGACAACATTATATTAAAGGAATAATTATTTAACAGTTTTTTCTTTTGTTTTAATTCTAACATATAACAGAATTTGTCAGAATTTGTAATTTATTGTCAAGCTTAACTGTAATTAAATTGAATACGTCTAATAATTCTATTTAACTGGATATGCTTTTTGATTACAAAATGTTATTTGAGCCTTCCAGAAAAATGGGAAATGGGAAAATAGAATGCAAAAAAACGAACCTGAACAAAGAGGAAAGTCTAATAGTGAAATATATTAGGGAGAAAGATGATTTCATAGGGCCCTGATATACAGCCGATTTTTGCATAGTTACACTATTTTTAACCAGGATGGGATATGTACACTTTGGGGTTTTTATATAATTTCATAGGGCTGTTTTTCAACTTTTTAATGGAGTCCCTGACTATAAATTGGTGTTAGGCAGCAAAAGCTACACGACGATAACAGGTTGCAAAGAAAATTACAGTGTATGATTTAAAATGAAACAAGTGTGGGCAAACAATTGCAGAATTGTCATTATTAGGAGAGCTATTACTTAAATCCCCAGCCTAGTGTCAACCATCATTTAAAAGATGATTAGCAAAGACATGGTGACCCAGATAGCAAAACAGCGGGAGACTGAAAGCTTGGCCTTTTTTTTTTTTTTACCATACACACGTACTAAATGAGTGCCACAGTGTGTAAGAACACTTCTGTTTAGCTGAATAATACATGAGTCTATTAATAGCAGAAACACACAGAGTCTCGGAAAAGAACATGACTACAGATTTCTGCTCCACCTACTGCTGATATACCCACGCCATCTCAACATTTGCCACACCAATATTAATTTCTCATGGCCCCCTGCCCATTAATTAAAGCAGAAACAAGATATTTTAATAACATAATTTTAATCTTGGAATTATAAAGTTCTATCTGCGCTCTGAATGATTTTAAAGATATTGACCTTTAAAGTATTTGCATTCCATAGCAAACAGTATGTGTGTAACATTTGTATTAAAAAAAAAAAAACGTCTTAAAATGTAAACAACTTCTCAAATAATGTAAATAAGTTGTCATTTAATAAGAAAATGTCAATAACAAAATTGACAAAAATGTCAGATAGAATTCTGAGGTGACGAAATGCAAAAACACATTTAGAAACAGTTCCCCCTGCCCTTTCATCGCAGTGGTCTGGCCCACTGCATGCTTACCCAATCGATCTCACCTACTCCACACACAAGTCAGGTGTGTGGCTGCAGCTCAGTTAATGTTGAACTTCAGCAAGTTGGGTATTTTATTCACTGTAAATAAATCGAATGTCCTTACTATAGTTTATACACACTCATTCATAAATTAATTGCGGCAGAAATGCTGATTACTGAGGAAATTTTCCATGAATCTGCCATTAGAGCGATTAAAATATTACTTCTCTAGTTAACATTAGCTCCTTGACAATAGCTTGTTGCAAAGTGCACCACAACTAACATGACAAAGCCATATCCCATTCGTTATCTTATTTGTGATGACTTAGCATGGTAGGTGTCATGGTGGTGCAATGGGTAGCACGATCGTCTCAAGCAGCAAGAAGGTCACTGGTTCAAGGCTTGGCTGGGTCAGTCGGCATTTCTGCGCTGAGTTTGCATGTTTCCCCCATGTTCACATGGGTTTACTCCTGGTGCTCCGGTTTCCCCCACATCCAAACACATGCGCTATAGGTGAATTGAACGAGCTAAATTGGCCATAGTATGTGTGTGAATGAGTGTGTGTGGGTGTTTCCCAGTGTTAGGTTGCGGCTGGAAGAGCATGCATTGCGTAAAACAGATGCTGGATAAGTAGGCGGTTCATTCCCCTGTGGCGACCACTGATTAATAAAGGGACTAAGCCGAAAATGAATGAATGACTTGGCATAGTGCTAACTTTACATTAGCGTTTACCATTAGCATACTGTTTAGCTGTGCATTTACTAAATGAGCACTGTGCTGTGTCCGAACTGACCCCCTATTTTTTTGTATAATCAATTTCTATTCTGTTCTTAAGTGTCTTAATTAACGTGGGCACTTCTAGACATTTATAAGTACATTTATACATGCACAATTTGACAATATTGTTTGTGTCCCCTTGAAAAATTGATCATGAAATTTTATATTTATTGTCCCCCTAATGTTAAATAAAATTTATGCCCATGGCTGTGATTGAGTGTTGAATCCTGGGAGTTGTCGTCTTCACGTTCTGACGTTCTGCACAAATCATCTTCATAGATGAGCTAAAGTATTCAAACTTATTATCATGGTAGTATGAAGCAGAGTAAGGCTGAAAGCCATCAAAGTGAAACGAGACCGCTGAAGCATTTGCTGGTGAGAGACTAGTGCAACATGGCATGCAATCAGAAGAGCTTTTATTATGCTATTAGACTTCTTCCGGTTCTTTCAGTCACAGATCATGTGAGGAAGAAGCAGCACTGTTTAATAATACTAAATACATTTAAAGCTGTTATAATGCTGCTCTGTGTAGTCACATATCATATTAAAGCATCTTTGGTGTCCTCCTGTTTTCTATGAAACTACATAATCTGTGTCATTAATTAGCCTTAAAATAACTTATTTCTCTGCATTTAAACATTCCTCAAAACTTCGGATAATGTAAGTACTTAAGTTAGCAAAATATATAACACTGTTCTAATTGTTTTGGGATATTTGAATGACAAGATTTTACATATTGTGCCTTCAAGGCTGCAAATGCGGTTTACGGAGATGATTTAAAAAAACAGCATCTAAACATTTTTGAAAACAAGAAGCAGAGCAATTGTATATTTTTTGTTATACAGATACTTTGAATAATAAAGATGGAAAATAGTTAGATTTGTCTGGCAACTGCACATAAGAAACAATTATTTGAGTAGGAAACTTACAAAGATACATAGCGCATTTGCTATTTACATGATGAACTTTGTAAGTGGATAAACAGAACGCTTCAACTAGAGAGAAAAAAGTTAAACAGAACACTTACAGCTCAAGAATGAGAAATAAGCCTCCTCATTTTTTACTTTCACTTTCACTCTTGTGGATAAGAAAACGGTGTTGTACGTACAGACATCCATTAGCCTATACATAATTTTGTTTGTTCAATTGCAAATATTTGTTTCAAAACTATTTCTAAATTCAGTTCTAATTTACAGAAAAACGAATACATGAACAATAATACCGAAGTGTGTTGAAAAAAATGAGTTATCCAAATACAAATAATTTGCCCCATATGGTACCAACAGGTGGACAAATCTAAGCTTGTTTTAATAAAACAAATATAAATAGGCATATAATAAATAATACTGTTAAAATGATAACATTATACCAAAGCAAATTATGAATAAACTGAAAAAGCTCCACGAGATGGAGACATGAAAGTATGGTTTTTATATTTATATAAGCTAAAAATAATAATTTTTGTAATGTTTTAATCCTTTAATTCGTTTTCAAATGCATTTGCTATTTAAACAGTGTGGTGCAAAACGTCAAAATGACTCTTGCGCCAAGCTAAAACACAATTGCGTTGCGCCTTGTGCCACATTGTGCCGTGTGTATAAAGGGCCCATAATGTTTACAATTTTTTAACATATTTTTTTACTAAACGTAAATAGCCATGTTTGACAGATTTAAAGAACTGAAAGTTTAATGAGTTTAATTTCATTTTAAATGCATTGAGATTTATAGGGATTTAAGTACACCAATATTGAGTCATGTAATTTAATTACTTAATGAGTAATTCAGTTACTTACCTGCCAAAGTAATTAAAAAAGTTATTTAAATACAAAAAAGGCCCTGGAAAAATGTGGAAAAATATTAAAAAGCTTTATTGACATTGTTATTGCTTAAATCCTTAATATTTTTTCACATTTTTAGAGTGCCTTGAACTGATTTTTGCAGTTAATTCTGATGAATCTCTTACCCAAAGAGCACTGACACCTTATTTAAGTTACCCCTGAGCACTTTTTGTTTGATTTGGGATAATTTAAATACACTTTTAAAGATGTAATTATTACTCATTAATTAAAGAACTACGTTCTTAACGAAATAACTTGCCTACAATGTCAGGAATGGAGAAGTCTAAATTAACAAAAAAGGAATAAAGTTTCCATTTATGGGTTTGGAGCAAACCGATCAGTGCATGATGATAAAATTACCCCAACAGGCTCCGATGACCAGCCGCTGGTGTGGTGCGGGGTTGGGAATGGCTCCGTTGTCGTGGATGAGAGCCGGGTCAAACGTTACACCATCCACATAGAGGGTGACAGAGGGGAACTGGACACTCAGAGACAGATGATGCCACTCGCTGTCACACACCTGTCAGAGTCACAGGACAAAACTCAGCTCAGCTCGAAAACATCCACATGTACTTACATGATGCAAAACAAGACGATCAGATCCTGACAGGCAGATTGTGTGCGACAGAAGTCAAGCAGCCAAAATGTGCTGTCATGGTTCGTTTACCTGCTCCAGTTTCCAGAGGAATTTGACGGGTCTGGCGGCGGACACATCCGGCCAGTAGAAGAGAGACAGACGACAGCCATGAACAGATAGAGAGTAGTGAGAGTACGAGTCATCTGGAAATGAGATCACGACACTGTTTAGTTCAGTTTCACATACTGTAACTGTTTGAGTACTTAACACTGTGACTTAACACTAGTGAACAGGTACTGGTTTCATGCTCAGAAATGCTTTGTTAGGTATCAAATTGTACAGTAAATAGGTCAAGATGTCCCATTTTTGTGTCTGCATCAAATTGAATTCACAAACTGGTTTTATATAAAAAGAAAGCATTTAGATTGCAAGTAAAGGGTGTAGTTTATTGTTTCAAAGTTTTCTGTAAAAATAAAATGTCAAAATATTGTTGAAATGATCCATCTTTCTTCATTGTAGGAAATATTTAATATAAACATAAACCTACATACCTGTCCTGACCTGTAATTATTAAAATGCACTAAAAAGAAATGGTCGTAATAAATTAATATTTTCATTAAAAAAAACGTCTTGCTGACAAATTGGTTTAACCTAGTGGTTTAACTAATAATAGCAAAATTTGAAAATTAAAAATATATATATTTCTTCACTTTGGGTCTGCACTGTGATGCTTTAGAGTTTTTGGTCACACTTTATTTTGATGGTCTGTTTGTTGAACTTAAGTTTCATCTACATGCAACTAATTCTCATTAGATTATAAGGAGACCGTTAGGTTGGGGCTAGTGTAAGTTGATTTACTTAAAACTGTACTTTTAGTCAGTTTAAAATTCTTATAGTCAGATAAATGTCTGTTAAATGTTTTTATCAACAGGCTACTAATACTCAAATGGGCCATCAAAATAAACTGTTACCGAGTTTTTAAATGTTATAAAATTTTTCCTTTTCTAAATATGTCTGACAAGACTTTTTGGTATATAAAGTATCATTGCACTGTAAAATTATAATAGTGAAATCATGTTAATAATGTATTATCATAAAAATATTTTACTGAGAAATAAATTAAACAGAATAAATTCTAATGTATGGTGGGAAATAATCAAATATTTTAAATCTCTAACATTTTTCCTGACATTACAATATTTAAAAAATACAAATGTGGTATTTCAAATGTAAAGTTTGAATGAATTTCAAATTTCAAATTCATAAACAAATCATTAAAAAATATTTCCAAAAACATTTGTATGATTTGTTTATGAATTTGAAATTCAAAATTATTTATTAATACTAAATTTTGTATTTCTTTTTCTAACAGTGAAAATTGCTTATCATTGTATTTCTCCAAAAAAATTTTAAAAAAAATCAGCAAATTAGCATCGTTTCTGAAGAACCATGTGAAACTGTAAACTAAAGTAAACGACTGCTTAAGATGCTTTGACCTAACATGAATAAATTAAACTTTAAAATACATTAAAACTGAAAAAATTTATTTAAAATGGTAATAATATTTCATAATATTACTGTGTTTACTTTCTATGCAAATATATGTCAAAATTGAGAAGTAAAAATATTATCTTCAATATTAGCCCCAAATTAGATTTAAATAATACAATACTAGCTAACATTATAAAATATTGAGGATAAAATAAAAGGTTTAGCCTATTAAAATTAATTGTCTATACAGAAATTAAATAAATTTTAAAATCTTCTTCGCTTTTTATTCGCTATATTTAAATATTGATTAAATTTACTACAGTTATTTAGTGGAGAGTTGTGAATTTCTCATTTTGATCCACTGTTTTGTTTGATAACAGAGGTGTCCCTTTAAGAATCCACAGATCTATAATCAAAGCCCTCGGTTACTTTCATAGCTATAAGCTCTTTATGCTCATTTAAGACAAACTTACTTGTTTAAAATAAAATATGCCAGGGCGAACATGTTTACATATTATTAAGTGTTATTATTAAGTCTGTTTAAAAACCCATGGAAATCCCAAAGAGTCCACTTTCGCTCCTCTTTAAAATCGCATGTACAGAAGCTGATCAGTGTCCTCCTGAACTGAACGGAGTGCATCTGTCAGTCAGCACGGTTGTATGACTGGACTGATTTAGTGGTTGCATAGGAAGGGCGACAGTCGATGCATTGCTTTAATGGAAATGAAAAGAATGCTGCCATTTTAATATTAATGGCAACCTGATTTCAAGCCAAAATAGAGCAAAAGCTATTCTCTTGAATAGCTCTTGCAATTATATCACATTTGAGATCAGCTCTTTGTTGCTACTTTCACATTTCATAGAAAGATCAAAAATACGTAAGAATTACCAGCCTGATCTCACGAGGAAACTTAAGTATTTTATGTTTTGTCAGTTTACTGGCTAATTCGTAAATAAATAACTATAATAAATATTGTAAATTGTACAATTTTAAAAAGGAGGCGTGGCACTCCACCCACCCCTAACCCCAACCGTCATTGGGTAATGAGCAAATCGTACTAAATTGTACAAATTAGATCGTACGAATTCATACAAATTAGCCACAAAATCAAAAAGTTACGAATTGCAGTGAGATTGTGTTGAAAACACGAGAAAATGGGATGATAATGAGATAGAATGGTAAAATACAGGATAATCCTGGAAAAACAGGGTTGACAGGTTTGTATACGATTTTAAAAACCTACAGACCTGAAATTTTTGAACAGAAGTGCCGCGTTTTAAATAAGGTCAATAACATACTTTATTGGCATTGGCACTGAATACTGAAATCTTCATATGTTGCGACACTAGTGCTCACTGACCATTCTTTACAGTGCTGCAGACAATAGTCTCCTCCTCTTTGCGGGTTCCTCTCGCCTGATTGGCTGGTGGCTGAGTGCTGGCTCCTCCTCGTCTCATCCATAGCTGCAGGGTGAAGTGATCGCCGGACACTGCTGAAGCCACTGAATCGGGCACTACAGCAACATGAGTGGAGCCGTTAAAAGAAAACACCAGCGAAGAATCGGAGGAGGGCAGAGTCGGCAGCGCAGCTGTCCAGTTGGTCGCAGGAGATGGTGGTGGCAGGAGGTCCACTTCACCTCTCACTGCACCTGCAAACATTAAAAGGGTCATGTTATAAATACTTTTAGTAAGTAGCAAAAAAGCCATAACTCAGTTTCAACTCAGGGTTTGGATTCTCCAACAAGGGCTCAATGGATAGGAATTGTATAGGAAATAGACTGACTTTTAACTTAATACTTAATTCAAGAAAATGCAACAAGAATTGACAAAAATGGACTGAGTATGTCATTGAAAACTGTTTGTAAAAAAATGTGCTTCAGATGTATTGTGACAACCGCTTTGAATTGTTTTTTTATTTGTTTTTTTTTCTTCCTCTCCTGTTCTTTTTCTCTTTCTAAATACAATAAAAAAATGTAAAAAAAAATAAAAATAAAGGGGTCATGTTATGAATTTTTACAATTATTTTAAAATGTTCCATGAGGTTCACTTATAATGTTTTTCTTAATACAAAACAAATACAAAAGCAGCAAAACCGAATTTTCAATCCTCATCTTGATTTTCTTGGTGAAAAGGTCTGTTTTTAGGGGTCGGGTTCTTTAAAGCTAGAAAGCAAATGGACGCTTTAGATTGGCTCACATCATTCATTTGATGACTCATCGATGAAATCATTCCTTTCTTTCATTTTCTTTTTGGCTTAGTGTCTTTATTAATCTGGGGTCACCACAGCGGAATGAACCGCCAACTTATCCAGCGCATGTTTTACGCAGCGGATGCCCTTCCAGCTGCAACCCATCTCTGGGAAACACCCATACACACTCATTCACACTCATGCACTATGGACAATTTAGCTTACCCAATTCACCTGTAATTCAACCCTAACCCAGTCTTTGAACTGTGGGGGAACGGGGGGAAAATGCAAGGAGAACATACAAACTCACCACAAAAATGGCAACTGATCCTGTCGAAGCTCGAACCAGTGACCTTGTTGTTGTGAGGCGACAGCACTACCTACTGCGCCACCACATCGCCGGCTCACATCATAGTCAATTTTATTTATTTATATAGAACTATTAAGTACAACCAGAGGTTGACCAACGTGCTGCACAATACACATCACAACAAAGAAAAATACAACATTATAGCTAAAATTGACAATTTTCATTGATAAAATGCCAAATCAAAGAGGTAAGTTTTCAACCTAGATTTAAATACAGACAGAGATAAAACAGATCTAATACAGAGGGGCAGAGCATTTCACAACCTAGGACCAGCTACTGGGAAGGCACAATTATCTCTGCATTTCAGCCTTGACTTAGGGCACACTCACACTATGCTATCCGAACCGTGCCCAGGCCCGTTTTCCGGATCGTTTGAGAAGTGTGAGTGCTCTGAATCGGGCTCAGGCACGGTTCAGTTGGCCGGCCCTGGCCCGGTTGGAAGAGGTGTGCCAGAAAGCGGTTCACTTGGGCTTTTGGCGTGGTATGCTTGTGTGTGAATGCAAAACGTGCCAGAGCCCGAAACGGAGGACAAGACGTGACTTTTAAGGGACTGTTTGATATGTGTTTATTAATCGTTCTTACTGTTCAATGAACACAAACTGTCGTAGATTATTAAAGACGCAAACCCCTCACTGCACGACAGTTGCACCTTTAGCAAACCTCCTAGTACCTGCAGCACGAGGACTTTTTTTTTGTAATTCAGTTTTTTTTTTATTTCCAAAAATGAAAATATAACATTTTTACAATCAGACAGAAAAATGCTTTTAATAGATATTACCCCATATATGTCCCCCATCCCCATCCCCATTATACGAACATCAGGAAACACAGAATAACTGTGGTTTAGACCAAGCTATCATATAAATTACACATAGATTTGATATTCATAGTATCAGATGAGGGTTTAGTGTCCAAGATTTCTTTGATGTCGCATATATAGATTTTCTATACCGTAAGAATGTTCAGTTTAGCATGGTTGATCTGTGCTGATGACAGTTCCCGATACTGTATATCCAATAGTGAATGTAACCAGTGCTTAACTGAGAGATCATGAGGAGGTTTCCCCCTCTGTACCAACATTTTCTTTGTAGCAGTTGAAGTAGCTAAACAAAATTTACGGAGCACGAGGACTTTATGATTGTTTATGAGCGTCAAACATGGCTGATCTGTTCAATGAAATATTTGACTGTATGTCACTGCATATCAAATGACTAAAACCATAGCAATGTCCACTGTGCTGGGCAAGAGAGCTTCTGAACAGCGCATCATCAATGTTGTAAGCGTGCCCAGGCGCAAACGCAATGTGAGTGCGGGCCGTCGGGGGAGACAAGAGGGAGAGCAAGCGTGCTTCGGCCCGGTTCAGGGCAACTTTACATAGTGTGAGCAAGCCCTTATGGATACATACCAATCTCTGGTTAGATGACCAAAGAGACTAACCAGGCTGATGCTCAATCAACATGTCTGACAGATAAGAAGGTGGCAGGCCATTTACAGATTTAAAACACAAAAGAGGACCACTGCAAAACCATTGCATAGGAAACTTCCACCACACTACTGTAAAGAATAGAGAGTAATAAAAAATGATCTAAAATTAATAAAAATGTGGAGGGTTTCATTAAATAAATGTTAATAAATGTTGGTTTATAATAAGGAGGATGTTTTAAGAATTGAAGCCTGCAGAATGTTTTAATAGAACAAAGAGCTCGTGTTTGTCAAAAGATCAAGGCAACTTTGATTCCACATGTCAGGACATCTTTAAAAGCCGACAAAACTGATGATTTGATTACAGGTCAAGCAAGATCAGCCTGATTTACTGAACCAAGCCTAATTTGAGCAGATCTGGATCCTGCCGTTAATCTGGGGCAAGCGGAATGATTTAGGACATTTTCCCATCTGCTCTAATGGAGATGAACAGTTGGGCGGCCGAAAGCACAGCAGATAAACTCAAAGTCCTCAATTTTCAGTCCGCTAATCATCTCTAATCCTAATGAATGAAGATCTGCCATCATCAAAGACAATTTATGGAAAAAATAAGAATTTTGGCCAATCAGACATGAAAAGAGCTGCTAGTATGCGTACCACAGAGTCTGCGCACAGAGCGGTCGGAGTAGCTGTCTCTGTCACAGCCCTTCCCGATGTGACTGGTCTGAAGCTCAACGGTGGCCTGGATGTTCCAGACTGTTTCCTCACAGGTCTCCAGGTGCAGGTTTGGAAACAGAGGGATGCTACCGGAGCCAGGAGTGTACTCGATGCGCTTTGTCCATCCTGTGATTCAAAAACACGCATGATAATAACATAACATGCAACAACATTCACATGTTTAGGTTCAGTGCGATTTCTTTTATTAACACTTTTATTCAGAATGTATTGAATTGATCAAAAGTGACTATACAAATGTAATTTCGGACGTAAAGCCTATGTGATGGCATCATTGTGATGTTTTATGTAAACATAACCTTTTTAGTTTTGATTGTTTTATCAAATTTAATTATCTTACATGTTTTTAAATGTTTAATTAATCATGTTCCAATGTTTTTTTCAGATCTAATCAGTAGGCATCAAACCTCTTACAGAGTCACACCAGCAACTGTTAATGGTGACTGTCTAGTGCCAAAGTGTAAGACCTCATTAGGTCAATGTGTTTTCTCAGTTAAGGGAGCCAAATTGTGGAATGATTTACCTGTTAGCCTAAAATTAGAAAGTTAATAAATAAATAAATAAATAAATAAATAAATAAAGGTTTTTACTTCAAATAAATGTTGATACATAAACTTTTTATTCAACAAATAATCCTTTAAAAATGTAATATAAATATTTTTGACAAAAATATTATAATAATTTAGCTGTTTTAATCATAATAATTCTTATTATCTCCAAAATAAGAATTACAACAAACCAGCTAATACTGGAGTGATTACTGAGGGATCATGTAACCTTGAAGATTGGTGTAACATATAATAAAATGCATTAACTAAAAAAGAAAACAGATATTTAAAATTGTATTTATTTACATATTTATTTATTTTTGAATACTCATAAATAATATTGAAACATTATTATACATTTTCTAACATGTTATCAATTAATTAAAATTATTATTATTTTTCTTTTGAATCCTTTATTCAAATTAAAATGGACATCATTAAAAATATAAATCTTAAAGTATAAAATGTTACACACACAACCAATGAAGTCTAAAAACCTGCTTGCCAAAATGTAACATTGTTGCTATATTTATATAATTAGCAATATTGTACGTTATTCAAATACAGTATTTTACTGTGCTCTTGGTAATATTTCAAATAATTATATTATTTTTTTACTGTATTTGTAATCAAATAAATGAAAACATAAGAGTCTGATAAAGAACAAAACTAAGTTTTAAAACTAAAATGTTTTTTCAGTATTCTTCGATTAATTAAAGTAATAAAGTACTTAAAGTATTCTTAAATTAATTGTTTTCATCTTTATACAAATGTAATAATAATGGTTTTATGAAAATTATTTTAAATAAATGATTTTCATTAGCATAATAATTAATATTCTTATTTTAAGTATTTTATGATTATTACAATAAAAGTAATTATTACAGTAACGTATTGATACAGTAAAAGTATTTACCGATCCAGCCTGGTTTGCAGGAAGGTTTGACAGTGACTATGACCTGAGCATCAGCCTGAGCTCGATTCTTCCCACAGTCAAATGCTGTGACCCAGAAACTGTGCACACGCTGCCGTTTGGAGTCCAGTGGCTCCGTGTTCTTTATGTTCCCTGAATGTGTAAGAGATACACAGAGGTTTATTTGATATAAAAAATAAGCACAGACCACATTAAAACTCATAAAAGTCAAAAGCCTTTGGTGAAAAACAGACTTGGATCAGAGATATAATAGGACAGATTGAACACTATCAGGGACACCGAGCATATGATGAAGAAATGAAGAAAGCAAAAGCAGCTCGAAATGAGAAATGAGAGCAAAAACAAACAAAGCAATAAAATAGTCGACAAGGACGTGTGAAAGGCAGGACTGGACTGGAGGAAAGAGAGAGAGAGAGAGAGAAAGAGAGAGAGAGAGAGTAAAAGAACCATATTGAAGTGGCACAATAAATAAAAGGATATTCACCCAGCAGTGTCTGGTTCAGCCTGACCCAAATCACTACAGCAAACCACACACACACAAACACACACACACACGCACACACTACAGCAGAAAAATCTGCAGAGTCATGGCTAAAAGAAGGACCTCGCTCCTCATTACATCTTTCTCTCTTGTTTCAGTTTCTTTCCACCGGGCAGCTCCTTCTTCGTCAGCATTTGTCATGTTACAAAATGTCGGCTATTGATCACCTTTCCCTCCGCCTGTCAATGAGCGTCCTGATCTGGAGTGAATGATTAGGACGGGTGACTATCCATCAGGCCCACCTGAGCTGTTCAGAGCTTGATATTAACACAACACCTCACTCTTGATATTGAGAATTGTTTAAAACCCTAACACTAAATAAATGAATAAAAATAATGATAAAAAAAAGATTATTATTCAAAAGGAGGACTGTAATGGTTTTTAATAATATTACCAAGAAGAAGAGAGTGTTGTACAATTTTAAAGCGTAAAATATCAACAGTGTCTTAGGGTGCTCTCACACTTGGTTCATCTAACTAGACCAGTGGTGCTCAACCCTGTTCCTGGAGATCGACCTTCCTGCAAAGTTCAGCCCCAATTCTGATCAAACACGCCTGAACCAATTAATTAGGACCTGAACAGCACTTGATAATTACAGGCAGGTGTATTTGATATGGGTTGCAACTGAAATCTGCAGGGAGGTCGATCTCCAGGAACAGGGTTGGTCACACCTGACCTAGACCGTACCCAAGTCCCCCCCTTGCCACCTTCTAGGTTGGTTTGTGTTCATGTTGTCTTTTTTTGTACACTTGCGTCATCGAGCTGCTGTTGTGTGTACGGCTGTAGCTAGGTGACGGTCACGAAAGCAAAGCACCAAAATGGAAAGACGTCCTCACATTGCGGTCATTCTACTTTTGCTGAATCTTTTGATTTTGGACAAACAGAAATCGACTCGTGTCTTTCTGCAGCAAAAATATTATAAACGTTTAAAACAGTGTTTCTCAACTGGTGGGTCGCGGGAACATTTTCAGTGGGTCACAGATTGTGTGGTCAAAAGAACAACAAATGTTTAATTTTTAACTTATTTTGCTTATACAAGACTTTTATTTTGAAATGCGTGAGCGACAACTGTACCGATTGACATGTGAAATTTCATTTAATTATAGCAACAAATATGTCGAAGCGCAAGTACGACCCTGAATATGTAAAGTATGGATTTACATATATTGATGAAAAAAAGACTTAAAACCTCAGGGTGTAGTGATGTGCTCTCCCAAGAGCACTTTTACAAACCAAACATTTGTTGTTTTTACTTTGTAATATTTCTATAATTTGAGACATTTTATTAAATGACAATAACAAAATATTGTTTATTTGTAAGTCTTGATGATTTTCTTATGATTTATCTGTCCCTTGTGAATGTTAAAAAATAAATACTAATTAATTGTAATTCCTAAAATTATATTATAGTTCCTGAAAATTTGGGTCGTGGCTTAATGACCATGTAAAAATGTGGGTCCTATGGCCAAACCAGTTGAGAACCACTGTTCTCGAACATCGCACAGTGTCTGTAGAAGCTGTGTTTGGAAGCTGTTTTCCCTGGCTCAGTCCCGCTTGTCACCAAGGTACAATTCGTAATACACACACACACACACACACACACACACGCACACACAGACAAATGAATGCTATGAAAATGATAGTTTGTTGTACAGTTGGCAGTTCAGTTCCGTTATTTGGTACGATTGCATTTATACCAAAAGTGAACCAGAGTTTGCACGAACTGTACCCCAGACCTTCTCTTTCAGACAGAAGACACGTTCACACTAGGTTAACGTACCGTGGTCAAACAAACCTGGGTGCTGACCAAAAGGGCTAGTGTGAAAGCCCCTTTTAAAATATGCAATTCTCAAAGTAATGCTACTGTCCTTATAATAATATATACAAATATTAAATGAATCGTTCACAACTGAAATGACATTTCTGTCATCGTCTTCTCTTAGGCTTGGTCCAAACCAATACAAGTTTCTTGTTGTCTGTTCTTTAAAACAATGTAACCTAACAAATGATGAGATTTTTTGTCTGGTAATTGAAGTGATTTGGTTTCCTCAAAAATTTTCCTGGCAACACTGTTCAAATTATCAGAGTAAATAAGTTTTCCATTAACCTATGGTTTGTTAAGGCACACAATGTCATATCTGTCATGATCTTTAGTCTTATTTGATTGTGACATCAGGTTACTAAAACTTAATGTCAATTTGCTCTCTAATACCGATGTCAGCTATCATCTAATATTGATGTCATCTGACATTGATAATTGTTTGGTTTTAGGCTGTGTCTTTAACTAACTAAAATCAAACATTATTTTAACGTCATGAAATGACACCTATACAATGTCAAAGAAAAAAGTGTATATGTCACTTTAATGTCTTAATCTGATATCCATACAATGCCAAAAGCTAACATCATTAACTGTTGATCTTTGGTTGTTTTTATGTTGTGTCGGGAACTAACTAAAATTTATTGTGACGTTGATGTCTGACTTCAAAATGACATGGGTTCTGACGTCAACCAGATGTTTATATACAAATAAAATTCAAAGTTAGCCTGATGTTGGAGATCAACATTAATTTTACTTTTGTGTGATGTTAGGTGGCTGCTGGGAATATTTGGCTGAGATGTAACTATTTTAAAATCTGGAATCTGAAGTTTCAAAATAAAATGTAAATGATAAGAAAATTGCCTTAAAAGTTATCAAGATTAAGTTTTTAGCAATGCATATTACCAATCAGATATTTACAGTATAAATTTTACAAAATCTATTTATGGAACATGGCCTTTATAGGGCTGCACAATACATCTTTTCAACATCGATATCGCAATGTGATCATTCGCAATAGGCATATCGCAAGATATATGCAATGTTGTAGTTTGTGTTTTCGATGCCTGTGATTGTAGAATTATTTTAAACATTCAAGTATAGGACATTGTATCATTTGTGAACTTAACTATGATTCATTTTTTCAAATAAATATTATCATTCAGTTACTGTACTTGAATACACTTTAATTCAAATTAAATTTGATATTTTTCTTGGTTGTATTTAACGATTGTTTTGCATAAAAAAACTAAAAACACATGCAAATACAGAAATGCACTGCAAATAGTAAATAATTGGTGGACCCCAAAAAGTTAATAGATAATTTATTAGATTTTATGGAGATGCAAATAGTAAACATTAATTCATCAATCTCTGACTGAACATGTGCATGAAAATACTCCCAACACATGCAAATACTGAAATGCACTGCACATAACAATGGAAAAGTGTCAGGGGACCGCGATAATGTTATAAGTTGTTTATTCGATTTTATGGAGATGCACTGTAGAATCATCCAAATCGATATAACATTATAAATTTAAGTAGAGAGTCGAGAAAGTAGAGATATTAAGTCATATGGTGAAATTGTATCTATATGCCATTATATATCGCAAAATAAAGTAAAAAATGTTAATGGTAAATTTTTTCACCATGCTGCACTAATTTCAATGATTTTGGAATTAAAGAAAGATCTATAATTTTCTATTACAGTGTGTTTTTTGCTATTGCTAAATATTTACTCATACAACATAAAATAATATTTGCAATAAATGGTCACTTTGTTTTGATAGTCCGTTTGATAATATTTAATTTACATTGCATTCACATGTCATCTAATTCTCATAAGATTATAAGTAGACTGTTAGGTTGGGGTTAGCGTTGGGGTTAGAGTTAGTGTAAGTTGACATGTACTTGCAAAGTTTCAAAGTTTAGCAGAGTATCAACAGATATTAAACAGACAGTCTACTAATACTCAAATGGACCATCAAAATAAAGTGATACCCAGCGAACCTGCACTGTAAAAAAAATAAATGTTATTTTACAGGAAATTGTCTGTATTTTTTTTTTTTCAGAATTTTAGTGAAGATAGTAAACATATGAAGAATAACATGAGGTTATTAAAGTGAAATAATAGGCTATTGTTTGTAGGCTGCATAAAATGCATGCACTGTAAACTATTAAATTTTAATTTTACTCTAACAATGTTGTTATGTGAATTGTGACGATCACCAGTGATCTAGCGGCTGCAGATCGCTGGAAAACTACACACGTTACTTTAACGAACTATAACTCCCAGCATGCACCTCACACACCCTGGTTCCTAATTCCTAAGTGTGTGTTACACACACAGTCAGAAGATCGTTATGGACTGATTGCTACAAACTCAGCACACACAGCCACATAATTTCAGAGTCTTAAACTGTTTAGTGAGCGTTACAATGCATTTTTCCTTGCCTTGCCACGTTTGACCCCTTTACTTTGTTATTTTGTTTGCCGCCTTTACGCTTGGGATTATTTGTATGCACCTGTTTGTTCCTGTTTCAACCTTTAATTGCAAGATGAATCTTTTAATAAACTGCTATTTGATCCTCAACTTTGTTTTGCAGGCGTCCTCACATGACACTAACCTTGCTTTTGTTGTTAAATGATGAGCAAATGTGTTATTTGTAAAAAGAAAAAAAAAATTGATAGATGACAGTTTTGTTTTTTCATTCATTCATTCACTTTCTTGTCGGCTTAGTCCCTTTATTTATCCAGGGTCGCCACAGCGGAATAAACCGCCAACTTACCCAGCACGTTTTTACGCAGCGGATGCCCTTCCAGCCACAACCCATCTCGGGGAAACATCCACACACACATTCATTCATTCATTCACTCAAACTCATACTATATGGACAATTTAGCCTACCCAATTCACCTGTACCGCATGTCTTTGGACTGTGGGGGAAACCGGAGCACCCGGAGGAAACCCACGCGAACGCAGGGAGAACATGCAAACTCCACACAGAAATGCCAACTGAGCCAAGGCTTGAACCAGCGATTCAGCGACCTTCTTGCTGTGAGGCGACAGCACTACCTACTGCGCCACTGCCTCGCCAGTTTTGTATTTTCTCAAGAAAATTGTGAGTTTAACCTACATATCCTTAAAATATTTGTTAAACTATACTACAGTTTATAGTTAAATTTACAGTGTTTTATGAAAACAGCAAGTATTTGTCCCTAAGCTTTTTTCAATCATTCCTAAATAGTTTTTTTTTCTGTTTAAAAGGTATGTTAAAAGTGGAACATTTTATTGAATATTTAGAGATTTCATGCATAATTACATGAATTAATCTTTATAATTACAATAATAACCTGCATAATTACAATAATTGTCCTTATAATCACATTATATAATCTGTATAATTACAGTAATAACCTGTATAATTGTTTACTGTTTTTTTTTTTTTTTTTTTTAACAGATTATCTACATTTTTTTTATTCTGACAGTTTTTTTAATGGTAATTTTATGGTAATTTTCTGGCTCCCCTGCTGTCAGAAAATTACCATTTTTTTACGTTTTTTTATATATATTGCGTTTAATAACATTAAACAGTTTTCACTTTTTTTATAGAAACATATAATTATCTTAATTAAAATAAAGTTAAAAACAACCTTATAATATGGTTCTAAATTATTTTTGTAATAATTTAGTCACTCTGCAGAACACAAGCGAAAATGATTTAGAAAAAAAACAAATCAGAACGCTTATTTCCACAGTCTGAAAGACAAATATTTCTCTAATTATTTTCTTATTATGTTCAACAAAAGACAGAAAGTCACACAGGTCTGGGATAGCACAAAGGTAAAAGACACACTTTTCATTCATTTTAATCAGTTTTACTAAAATATGTTGGTAACTTCCACAGAGTGGGGCAAACAGCCTTCACCTTCAGACTTCAGTGAAATAATGTTCTTCACGCATTTTAATAATTTAATTTTTCAATTCAGTTCTTTATTGTGCAGCTAGAGTGAATGCCTCAACCTCACAGCTTTAATCAAATCCTGTATGGAAGCTTCTGGCGAAACCTTTCATTCATCTTAAAAATTAATCTTCAGCCTGGAGATTAAATTGACATTAGTTTAAACGCATCAAACTTTTACAGACTTCATTAAAGCATAGATCAAGTCTAAAAAAAAGGCTGAGTCTAAAAAAGTGAATTTATATCTTATAAAATAATATAATATTCAAAATGTAATATTTATGAATTGCATGATATTATTACTTCACACCAATTTCATCCCACAAATGTGCATACATTTATATTAAACATTACATTCTAAAATCTGTATTTTTGTGTGCCCAGTCATTTGGAATTTACTTATTTCCATCAGAAAAACATCATATGAAATAAGCACTGTGTATATTATGAATGCTATTAGTTGTAATTCTCACCGTCATTATCAATGGTGAATGGGACGTTGGGTGTGATGATGTCATAGAAGCAGATCTGGCTATACTGAGGAGAGCAGTCGGCATCTACAGCTTCCACTCGCACGATACGATCAAACAGACGACCCTCTGGCACTGACGCTTCATACCGGCGCTCCACAAACACAGGAGAAAACTCATTCACGTCATTGACACGAACATGCACGGTGGCCCTAGAGGAAAAAAAAGATTAAGATTGGAATTCAGAAGTCAAAATGTGAAGTCTTAATTGGTGCTGCATGGCCAAATATGCAGAGACTTACTTGTGGGATTTCTTGCTGTTGGTGCCGTCAGGACCTTCACCGCAGTCATACGCCTGGATGGTAAAGCTGTGCTCCTTCTGGCTTTCACAGTCCAGAGGCTCTTTGGATCGAACCAGACCTTCCCCAGTGGAGCGATCCAGCACCACTGCCTCAAACTGCGCCGAACCAGAACCACCTGGTCCATTGTGAACCCTAAACCCACAGATCTCCCCTGAAAGCGAAAAAAGATCGTCTGTCTACATTTGAATGACTACATTTGCCTTTGTTGATATCAAGTCTTGTTGTGCACGTGTTAGCATGGTTAGCAGGCACAACGTGAATGTGCTTGAATGCAGTCCAGATGTATCTCCTATTGAAATATGAGCAACCGATCATCTAAAGCAGGGGTCACCAATCTTGGTCCTGGAGGACCGGTGTCCCTGCAGGGTTTAGCTCCAACTTGCCTCAACACACCTGCCTGGGTGTTTCAAGTATACCTAGCAAGAGCTTGATTAGCTTGTTCAGGGGTGTTTGATTAGGGTTGGAGCTAAAATCTGCAAGACGCAAGCCCTTCAGGACCGAGTTTGGTGACCCCTGATCTAAAGGATGTCATGATTGAGCCAAAATTACTGTGACATTAGATTAAATTTGAACTTATTTTTGGTTTTTGCCATGTCTGCCAGCTCAGACATGTTAACAAAAGAAAACATGTAGCTTGTTTTATCAAATGTCTAAGTGTGTTTATGAGATATAATTGGCCCGTTTGAATATAATGCGGGTTTTACATAACCAGCTAATTCTTTACACGAGCCCACCTCCAAGCAAGCTATGGACTCAGCCCTCCTTGTGTAACAGAGGCCAACTAGTGTGTGCTGTGCAGGTAAACCTCACTCCTCTGACCTCTAAAGGTGCTCTAGCGACAGACGCTAGAGGCCATGGTCTTTAGCCTCCTTGTTAGAGGAACCGACTCCCTTGCGGAAGATCGCCGGTTCGATCCCAGCTCAGAGCGGGTTGGGCGGTGTAGGACCGGCGGGGTTACATTGGTGCCGTGACCCGGATGGGAGTGAAGTTTAGGGGGGTGAGTGTAACAGAGGCCAGCTAGTGTGTGCTGTGCAGGTAAACCTCACTCCTCTGACCTCTAAAGGTGCTCTAGCGACGGACGCTAAAGGCCATGGTCTTTAGCCTCCTTGTTAGAGCAACCGACTCCCATGCGGAAGGTTGCCAGTTCGATCCCAGCTCGGGGCGGGTTGGGTGGTGTAGGACCGGTGGGGTTACACATGCACTCTTTTCTATAAACAGATGGCAACAAATGTGCTTTTCTCTGCATTTGAACAATGTAGTGATCCTGCAGCCTTTTATGTGGTTGGATATAACTTTAGGTGCCCCTTCACAGAATCACAGCTTTACTTTTAACATCGAAAATTGATTAGTTTTATATATGAAGGGAATATCTCAGAAAAAGCGTTTTGACCTTGGGGAATACAAAGCTGGACTTGTATCAAAATTGCATTTAAAGGATGCAACTGTTCTTACAATTTGTTCAAAAGATGTAGGTAAATTTTTTATGTTTAATTTGCGTTTCATTTGGTTACAGTTAGCAAAGGCCAGATTAAGTCCACTTTAGGATCAGATCGTCATGCTTCATAGAGTTTTGTTTGTGAGTGTGGTGGTGTTTGTTTACAAACTAGAAACTGCAGCTGAGAACGTGTTGAATACAATTGACACTGGTGGTGTCACGATCGGGTCTTGAACCTGGGTCTCCACTGAGCCACAGAGGCAGTTGTGTTGGACCCAAACAAAAACACTCCAAGAGGGAATCCAGAAAACAAGGATTCATCAAAAAAAAAGGAAAAAAAAAGGTCAACTTAAATCCTTCTTAAAAAATGAGGTAGCAATACAGACAACTTAAGTTCTTCTCAGAATGAGGTATACAAAACATTCTAACAGTATAATAAACATATAAAGCAAACTCTTCGAGGGGAGAAAACAAAATGGACTGTAAGGCAGCCAGCAACAAGGAAAATAAAACAGTCTTACTAGACGTAGCTCAGGAGATCAAGAGAACGCAAAGTAAGTTCACCAGGGATGACTTAAAATCCGAGTGGGGAACGCAGATAAAGTGACAACTTAAATACACAGACTGGAACAAGTCACAGGTGATTAAAATTAAGTAAACAAGAACACACGAGGAAGAACAAAGGCAGAGGGGAAACACAGGGACCTTGAGGGGAATGGAGACAAAGTGCAGGATGGTGACAGGTGGGCTGCAATGTCAAACAATGATAAATTAAATATAGGCTATGATTATATGTAAAAGGAAGTATGCTTAATTCTCATTCATTCATTTTCTTTTCGGCTTAGTCCTTTTAATAATCTGGGGTCGCCACAGCGGAAAGAACTGCCAACTTATCCAGCATATGTTTTTTTAAGCAGCGGATGCCCTTCCAGCTGCAACCTATCACTGGGAAACCTCAATTGTCAAATAATTAAATAATGAGTGCATTTACATGCAGGATCCTAAGTCAATCATGCTTCATAAGCCAATAATGCATGTGGTCGTGTAAACAAGTGATCTTCCTCAAATGAGTAAGGTCATAACAGCTTCAGCAGAAATGACAGCTAGATTTCTATGGAGCCAGATCAGTCAAAAAAATAATACACTAACAAATTATAATTCGAACATCCACAACACAATTTACATTTACAAATCCAATTCGTAAGTTCAAAACACAATTCCTAAATCAATAAATCCAATTTGTAAATTCAAAACACGATTCATTAATACGAAAATCCAAATCGTAAATTCAAAGCACAATTAATGAATACACAAATCCGATTCGTAATTTCAAAACACGATTCGTAAATATAAAATCCAATTCGTAAATTCAAAACACAATTTATGAATACACAAATCCGATTCGTAATTTCAAAACACGATTCATAAATACAAAATCCAATTTGTAAATTCAAAACACAATTCGTAAATGCACAAATACGATTCGTAAATTTAGAACACAATTTGTAACTATACAAATCTGATTAGTAAATTCAAAATGCAATTCAAAAATACACAAATCCAATTGATTTGGTGATAATATTTATGATTTTTACTTATGAATTCACAAGTTGTGTGTTGTATTTATGAATTGTGTTTTGAATTTACAAATTGGATTTTGTAAATGTGATTTGTGTTGTGGATGCATGAATTTTATGTCATAAATATATTATTTTTGAGACTGATATAGCTCCAGATTTTTGGCCCTTACTCTGATTTAAATCTCCGATCTTCATCAATTTGACAACACAAGTGCATGCAAATTGTCACAACAGAAATGCACAGCAAATAGCGCAGATGACAACAAAAATGTGTCAGGGGTTCATTTAATGCTAATTGTGCAATTTATAAGATTATTAGTGATAAAAAATATACATAAGGAAACCATGTGTTCTGAAAAAAACTCATGTCTCAGATCTCTGACACACTGGTGACTCTGAGCATGTTTTGTTGGGTCCCCCGACACATTTTCATTGTGGTGTGAGCTATTTGAGGCATGTTTCTGTATTTGCATGTGTTGAGAGATTTTGCATTTGCATTTGTTGTTAAACTGATGAAGATGCTTTCCCAATTTGTTAATATTTTTTTGTACGTGTTTTCTAAACCTGCAGTGTGTTTGAGCTCTCTAGGGACACCGGAGATTTAAGTACATTCAGACTGTGCATTCTGCAACAACAGAACAGGAAATATCTCAGACGATTTTGATTTCCTAAACAAAAGAAGTATAAATATGTTTTCTCATTTCAGGCAGCAGCAAATGAAAGTCAAGAAGCTGCAACAGTCAAAATGCTGCATCTTGAAAGGAAAATAAATTAGCCGTTTAGTTTTTTACAACTCATTTTATATGACAACTAAATATAACATGGTTTATTAATAAAATCTTGTCGTCATCTTTATTTCTATAGTGCTTTTCCAATGTAGAATAGCTTGTGTCAAAGCAGCTTAACAAAGATGAAGAAAAGAGAATAAAAAGCCAAAACATTTCAGATGGTGGAACATTCCAGTATATCAGTTAGGAAGCAGAGTTGTGTTAGAATGCTGTTGAGGATCAAGCTAAATTAAAAATGATTACGTTCAGTTTAATAGAAATGTCACTGTTGAATGATAATCCAATGAAGAGCAGCTTCACCAGCTCCAACCAAGCTAGCAAACAGTGACTACGTCTACATGGACATCAGTAATCAAATTATTTGCTTTAATCTGAATAAGACAATATGATTAAGGTGTTTACGTGAGTTGCTTTTTGAATGTTCCTTTCATGATCCCGTTTTACATGTTATAGCACATAATTCCATTAACATCATTGCGTCACTGCGCTATCCAGATTTCCTTCTGAGAGTTATGTAATTTCGGGAGTATAATTTTTAATTTGTTGACTTTGACTGCAGTTTGGCACTTTCACCTTCATCCAGGAACATTTCATGCATACCCACCTTGACAAACGAGATATTGGCGGTGAGTATGAACTGCTAGAAGAGTGTTGTTATAATGGAATTTGATACCGCATGCTGTATGAGGAAAAAAACGGATGTATGCAATGCGGATGTCTGCAGTTCTTCTCTGACTCGGTAGGTGCAGAGAATAGTGTCGAACAGCCTTGTGGCAAAAATCCTGTCATGAAATGCGACAGTAATAATTTGATGAAGGTGTTTACATGTCTCTATACTGCACTTTAATAATGCGACTAAAATCGGCATACTCCACGTCTAAATCCAATTTCTGTTTGGTTCGATTATGACTATAATCGGCCCCGGGCGAGGCAGTGGCGCAGTAGGTAGTTCTGTCGCCTCACAGCAAGAAGGTCGCTGGGTCGAACCTTGGCTCAGTTGGCGTTTCTGTGTGGAGTTTGCATGTTCTCCCTGCCTTTGTGTGGGTTTCCTCTGGGTGCTCCGGTTTCCCCCACAGTCCAAAGACATGTGGTATAGGTGAATTGGGTAGGCTAAATTGCGTGTGTGTGAATGTGTGTGTGGATGTTTCCCAGAGATGGGTTGCGGCTGGAAGGGCATCCCCTGTGTAAAAAACTTGCTGGATAAGTTGGCGGTTCATTCTGCGGTGGCGACCCCGGATTAATAAAGGGACTAAGCCGACAAGAAAATGAATGAATGAATGAATGACCATAATCGGATTAAATTAATAAAAAATGGATGTTTACAACCACACATGCCCACAGACGTGTT